TTCAAATTTTGAAACGGGTTGCTGGTGGGCAGACGTGGAGTGGCTGTGGGAGCGGGAGGGAGGAAGGCCGGCTGCTTGTCGCAGAGAGGCCGCCGGTGGCTGGGCCGGCCAAGGGAGGCCGGCGGTGGAGCTTGGGTGGTGGGGAGTTGAGAAAAAGAAGGGGATTTCGGCTAAGAGAGAGAAAAGATTGGGAAGAAGAGACAAAGAAATTTCAAATGACAAACCTTGAACACCATCCACCGGTAGAATCCACAAAGAGATCTCCGACGGTCCTCCTCTTCAAGAACTCACAAAGAGATCTTTAGAGTTTCATGAACTCACAAAGAGAACAAAGAGCAAATTTTCATTTCATCAAAAACTAACTATTACATAAGAAAAGGGCCATATATATAGGCCTCAAAATGACAAAGAAAACAAAAGACTCAAATGCCCCTTGGGCTACAACAACGACCAAATACCCATAAGGGCAAAAACGGAAAAACATAAAATAAAAATAAACTACTACATAAAATGATGAAAATATAGATCATGATCGTGGCCGTCGATCTCCGGCATCTCCGATGGTACACGTATTGCTGACGATGTCCTCATCAGTAGAGTTCAAGTCAACAGTCATTCACAAAGTCTACGTGAAAGCTTTTCTGTGTCTATATTGTCTATTTATGTATCCTCAAAAGCATAAATAGCATCTATTGTTGTGGGAACTCCTAAGAAATTGCCTTCAAGGGCTAGGAAATTAGGAAGAGAGTTGCCAATAAGGGATGATATCTGTCTCCTATCAGTATGTTAATCTGCAAGTCCTGAGGCTTTATAATCCCTCGATATGACAATATTTTCTATGGTAAAACTAGGATTAAGCAAAATGTCAAGACAAAATTCAATAAAATAAACAACATGCCCATATTTCCTACGAATTTTAAATGGGTTTTAATCCCTTGCATGCAACTTTCTGAATTTTATGGCTGAGAAGTATCAGGATGAATGTGAATTAAAGTATAATCAACTTTATTATATTCCCTTGATGAAATATTTAATTAACAGTTTTTTCATATTTATCATTGCTCACTTCAAAATGCTGTTCCATGGGTGCATGAAAAGCATAAAAATTATGAGTAAATGAAATTTAGCATTTCAAAATGAATAAACAACAACAACAACATCAAGCCTTTATCCCACTACGTGGGGTCGGCTATATGAATCATTTTTCTTCATTGTGTCCTGTTAAGAGTCAATGATATGGAATGTCAACTAGATCAAGAGCCTTTTAATCAAAAACCTTCTAGTTATCTATCAAACTAAGCATACTTACTAAGGTTCATTCTACAATGGGCAAAAATGGCAATGGTTATCCAAGGATGATATTTATGACAGGATTTAAATCTCTTATAATGGTTAACTCATCATACAGCTCATCAAAAGAAATATAAAAAAACTCAATCAAAAGACCATGTTAGGTGTGTGACTCTTAATAAGCAAGGGTGAAACTTTTCACATGGATGTGAAAGGAGCCTCATTAGAAAACTCATTTTTTTATTATTGTTTTTTTAATCCAATATTTTTAGTGCAAATTCTAGTGTCAAAATTAGAAACAAACAAGGCAGACTCACTAAAAGGGGTATGTAAGGATTTAGATGAGGAAGAGAATCAATAAACAAGGCAATCACAAAAAATTAAAGTTTTACATTTATTTTTTTGGGTAGGTACAATTTGGTCTTCAAAATAAGACTTACCTGTATGTAAATTAAGGTTACTTGCTCAATGGCTTCATAGAAAATAATTTAATGGTGTTTTCTATGTATTTGAAACATAGGTAAGAACATAATGAATAACATCCAGTCATAAAATCATTTTCTACCTAAAAGGATATGTGTCATGCCCATGGGGAGAATATACCATCAACTTTGATCTTCATAACTACCTAGCTTGTTGGGAACTAAGCATCTACTAATCAATATGATTAACCCAACTAACATAGAATAGCTTCAAATGGGGCACAAGTTTCAGAGTTATAACTTATGAATGCATGGCTGGAGATGACCTTCATTACACTATTGTCATCAAAGGATAATCTATACATTTCCTCATTTTAAGTGTCATACATATGAAAAATTTTCATGTGTCTCTAGTCCTCAAAAATACAAAATCTCATAAAATCCAAAGGGGAAGTATCGATAGCAATAAAATGATCATCAAATAGAAGTGTCATCCCTAACTTCCTTAAAATCATTAGACTCACTAATTCAAATTCTGCCAAAAATAAGATTTATGAATTACATTAATTTTCCAATTGACATTCTTAAGGAACTTAAAAGCAACTGATTTTCCTTGATGTGTCTATGAGAAGTCAAAGTGGAAGTAGTGTAAGAAGTATTAACATAAGTAGATGAAGCAGAGGGATAATTAATAGGCCTAAGAATGGGTGCAGAAATGACAAGCTTAGGCATGCAACTACAAAATAGTTTCTTTTGCTTCTCAATTAAAAGTGCATAGTGAAAAGTATCTTCTAAGACCTTTGGATCTTAACAGTTTAACCTCATTTCTAGTTTTGGATCTAAGACCAACTTTAAATTTATTAGCTACTTATCAATCCTGATCAATTCAATTTTGTTCTAGCAAGTAAACCTTCAAATGTGTTTAGATATTAGAGGCATATATTGTTTATTATCTTAATGTTAAAATCTTATGGTAATATCTAAAGCAATATTTTGATTTTGGCATCTTTTACTTTTACCCATGTATGTAATTTTTCCATTTATTTGTTCTTTTACAAGCAAATTATTCTAGTAGATTTTAGCATATCCAATTAATTTTATTTTGGCAAACTTAATTCGTTGATAATATTCTATTTTATATCAATCAAATAATTCATTCAATTGAGTTTATCAATCTAGAAACTTTGGATCATGAACAACATCAAACATAGAGGCTTAGATTTTTATTTTATAATAGGGGACTATCATAAAACTTGATTTCAATTCTAAGTTGATGTTTTTGGATAGCTAAATAGTCACGTAAAGTTTTCTTCTCCAACATGAGGAAAGTAAGGTTCATTGATTGCAATGGGTGAAGTTTGAGTCGTGACTATTAAATGTTGCAATTGAATTTTCATTTATTTCATTAGTGATTTTAAGATGTCAATAGTATTTTGTAAATTTTCAATTTATCATCAGTGTTTGTTTTGCAAACTGTATCTTTTTATGCAAATCTTAATTAATCTAATGAAACTAATTTTGGATGCATGATGAAATAATTGCAGAATGCAATGAAAGCATTTTGCTGTTAAGATATGCGTTATGAAATAAGATGAATGAAAGTGTAGAAAAAGGGGGCCTTCAAGCACTAGGTTAGTAAGTTATTTCAATAAGCATATATATATATATAATCAAAAGCAAATAATAAAACAATATAATTATTTTTAATGAGTTCAAATCACAATCAGCATTTGGAAAGGTAATTTTAAGCGGAACACACCCTCAAAAATAGGAACTTGTAAATATTAATAAGGTGGTAAGGTTTATGCTAGGAATTGCTTATCAATATGTAGTGTTCAACTACTTGGGAGGATTGCAAATATTTATATAATTGACAAATAACATTCACCAATCTTCAATTTTTATTACAAAAAACAAGGTATCAACATAAATGAATTTACCAAAGAGGAATTCAAAGTTTACCCATAGGTGAATATTGGATCACCAATTGTTGATGTTTGTTGATAATTTCTTAATTTTTGTGGTGCATGTTCTCTTTGTTGTGCATTCTAAACTCCTTGGATGCTTTGGCAGAAAAGGTCATTAGAACCTTAGCTCTAATATCAATTTGACGTGGTGTGGTGGAAGGATCTTGATGTAAGAATGAACTTTCGTTCTTATGGTGGATTGTAGAGATTTTGTGAAAGCCCTAGTGTGGATGATGACTAGATAGGGTAATGCTTTATGGTGGATTGAATGATGGCCAAGCAAACAAGAAATATATGAATTATTTTGGTTCAGTTATGACGGGAAGAGGGGCTCAGGTATGGATAGTTTTGTTGGTTGGCCGAGAGGTGGAGGTTGGGATTAGAGTTAGGTATTAAATGGGAGAGGTGTGGAGTCTTGTAGAGGGTTTAAGCTTTCTTCAGAGTTTGATAGAAGAGGTCAAACTTGAGAGGACTTCTTTAGGATTTAGTTTTTGGAGGAGGTTGACAATGGCTGCGAGGTGCTTTGGGGTTGTAGGGGAAGAAAGGTTTGATAATAGGCCAAGCATGGAGAATATAGGGGAGGCTAAACTCAAGTAGAGATAACTAATGAACTCAAAAATGTTCCTTTTAGGGTTCAACAAGTGACTACCAAATCTTAGCAATTTGCCAACAAGCACAAGCAAACCCAAAACAGTCCAATCTATCATTTCAAGAGGTTACATAGCATTTATATTGAGACAAAGAAGCAAACAAAATAGCATCACTAAGGTTTTACCAATCCATACAAGGAAAGAGAGCAGCACCAACTGAATTGCAACCTTCATGAATCTTATTAGAGTGGCTGACCATGGAGCTTTGGTAGGATTTTTAAATTATATTGATCACAGGTTACATGCACAATGAGTCATGGGGTTAGGCCATAGCTACTATAAAATGCGGAGTAGTCTTGAGATTAAGCACATAGTGATTCCAATGATGAAAGGACAACAAAGCTTGATCATGCTCCTTGCATTGAAAATTATGAATGTCATTGATGGTGCAATCCTTGATGCAGTGCTAAGTTTGTGATCTTGTACATGTGTTATCAGCATTCGAGGGCATGGCATGGGTAAAGAGCAAGCGAAGCATATAATGGGGTTCACAAGATGCAATTAGCAAATGGGTGAGATTAAGGGTTATGGGATTGTGATCTAATGGGTCCACGAGCAACAAGTTCCCAATCAGGGGAAAAAGAAAAGCACTCAACTACTAAAAAATATCAAACAATCCTAAAACCTAGAACCTTATAAAAGATATCAGAACAGAGAGGGAGGAGGCTGACCTAGGTCACCGCCGCGCTTGGCCGAGCTACAGTCAGAGTAACGTGAAGCGATATCCTCGAACTGGGCCTGGCCAGAGACGATCTTCTCCCGAAAATCCGCCAGTTGAGCGGCGGCTTCTTCCCTGGTAGTAGCACTGATGACGCGACCATCGGGATCCTTCCACGACGCCTTCCTCCTCGAGCCTTCGTGCTTTATCAGGATGTGAGAGGCCTTCACCTGTTCCTGTGACGCCATCTCCGCCTCCAACGATTATTGTCACCTCCGATTTAGTTTCTCCGAAAGAGAAAAGGATGTGAAAGAGCTTCGTGCCTTCGAGTCTCTGATCTAAAAAGGCGTGCTTGGTTTGCCCCCGGCTTTAACCAACAAAGTTGCAGAAAGTTTTGCCTTGGGATGTACGAATGGGATGCTTTGTGGTATATATTTATTTATTTATTATATATTGTAAGTTCATAATATTATCATATCACACTTTCATTATATATATTAATAAATATAAGATGGATAGAAAAACATTAAAAAGGGGGCCAAATAATTATAAGATACAAAATATTTATTTTTAGTAGCCTAACTTTTAAAAATTTTAGAGGTGGTCTTTTTGTTGGAATGAAGATTCTCACTCATTAGTACTTTTTTATGAAATAAGTTATATTTAGGAACGAGATATTTATGTGGGGATTATATCGTTGGAATCTTTAGATAAAATAAATTTTTATAAAATTCATAATTTGTAGATAAATTTAAAAATTGGTCATAGAAAATTATTTTTTACTAAAAAAATATTTAGCTACTGCATGGCTTATAGCTACTTTTTCAAATAAAACAAATATGAAATTTTCTAAGATTGTGGATTCAAATGTCATATATCTTGCCTCATATGCCTCTTCATATGGGATAATTCCTTCACCAAAATTGATATAGTGCCAGCTCCCATGCATTACATGATGAAAACCCAAAAACATACTAATAGAGCATTCATATTCAAGATGGCTCGTATTGCGTTATTTCATGTCCCATGAAGCATATTTGCTTCTTTCACCTAGTTAGCCACATGATTTGTAATGAAATAGGATATGCAATTGCTTTCTTAATTTAAATAAGATTGGAATATCAATCTGAATAGTTTGATGAGTGTCACTTGACTCTTGATTGCTTCTTAATATGATAAGTGGTTCAATAAATATATGATCAATATCATTGATTTATTATAGCTTTCTTGTCATTATACTTTCCAAAACTACCTCAAGTAAATCAAGAACATATAAATGTGCAATAGTTAAGCCTTCATCAACATGACATGAACTTTAAGCCCAATAAAATTTTTATTGGATTGTAAATTGAGGAAGTGAGAACCTTATAGTGGGTATATTTCTCATCTTTTAATTTTTAGAGCATTTCCCTCGTCCTTTTAGAGTAGACATAGATCTTCAATTGAATCACTTAATAATTGAGTTATATTTCTTATATTTCTCCCAATAGTTCACTTCATTTTTTGCTCTTATATATTTTAGATGGTCTACATTCTCTCTATTAAGAATATCACTTAAGCACTCAACCACCTTATTACTTGTTTTAAAACAAACATATCGATATTTCCCCTCTTTTAGACCCAAAAGGTCCCATTCATTGATCTCTCATGACTAATTATGATTGCCTACATCTATTAATGGTGTTATTGAGACACATTTAAGTTGCTTGAATACTAAGTAGTGGAGCACTCAATCACTAGTAGCCAAATAACATTGCCATTATCCTCATTCATTCCTCATAGAAATAATGGAAGTAACATCTCATCTGAGTATATGAAATTGTTTGGGGGCAATGTCACTGTCAATTAACTGTTTAGAAAGATTGATCTCATAATGTGTTAAACCCTTCACTCTATTTTCTTGACTCCAATTGTAGTGGTCACATATATGACTTCTCTAACTTCTAATGCAATGATAGTAGTCATGTGATATGTTGGAGAAGGTTTTGTAATTAATGAGAGGAGTTCTAGAGGCTAAGTAAGGGATTTCTAATGGTTGCAATAAATAGCTAGTGGGAAGTGGGAGGAAATCTTTAATATGAGGGAATAGATTAAATATCTAAGATGAATATGGACTCGCCAAACTTCAAGAGATAAGCCGCCAAGCTTAAACAAGGTTGAAGGGTCGACACCAAGCCTTTCACATATTATTTCACAATAAAATTTTCAATATTATTTAGTAGTAATTAAAAGAATACATTTTATGAGTATCTATAATATTCCTAATGTTATGACCTACCAACATTTGATTTAGCAAATATTTCAAAGCCATTTACACTTGGTTACATGGCTTTGCGACTTGCCTACTAAAGAACAGAAATTAAACATTAAAATTTATTATAAGATATAGTAATCTTAACAAGTAAAATTTTACCAAATCTTATTTTAAGAAGTGGAGTGATTTCTAATATTTTTGGATCATTCCTTCTTCATGTGGAATGGATTACTCAGGATTCAGGAAATCATGAATTTGATTTTTTTAATCAATTTTTATCACATAATCATGAATGCTTCATTGCAAATGACTATATTTTTATTTCTATGGTATAATGAATGGCCAATTACAACAAAGGCATGATTATAAAATTGCTTAAGCTTATAAATGCTTCCAATACCCCACGAGATGAATGCCGATGAAATAACTTATATTTTTTTTCATTTTATTTCTATATTTAATTCAAATTTCTCAAAAACTTCTCAATCATTCACTTGTAATTTTTTATGAGATCTTTGTGGGACGGATTCAAAAGTTGTGACTTTAACCTCATGCTATTCTTCTCTCCTCCAAGTATTATTTAGCAGGTTGTCCCAGGAGTAGCCAGTTTCTCACCTTGAAGAAGGAATATTATAACATAACAATGTATGATAAGGGTAGTTTCTTCTTGCCTTGAAGTAGAACCATTTGGGTGGCTCAATTACTCATTAAGGATTGATTGCAAAAAGAATTCTTCACCTACAATTGCAAAGGAGAAATATTAAAATTCTCAAAAGAGGACTTATGGCCAACCCACTATAGATCAATTTACATTTTTCTAAACTGTATTTTTATGCACAATTACTTATTGTGTTCTTTTCACTGTAATTAATTATTTTAAATTTAAAATATCAAATTAGCCCTTTAGAAGATAATAACATTGCTTTCACAAACATCAATGACCAGCATACATCAAATACTTATTGTTGTTGACATAAAATATTGATAAATATAACACATTAAGAGGTGATTATCTTAAGTATTCTTCTTATAAAAGACAGGACTAGACAACCAAATCAATGGATATCAAACATAGGTGTTAAGTGAATGTCGTATATATGTTGTTGATATAAATGATTGAATCCTATTGTCTCTTCCATATTAGAAAGAAGATATTATTGATGATTATCTTGTAAACCCAAAAAGAATATTTCGTTCAAGAGCTTATAAATCATAAAGTAAGCATAGTGAAGTGTTATGAAAATGATAGGAGTTAGCGTTTGATCAACTCTATGAGTACTTTTAGCCTTTTGAGGTTGTTTGAGTTGAACACTTGGATGCATTACGACTGTTGCATGCATTCCTTTCAGAAGATGATCAAAATCAACATGTCTAAATCCTAAACCCTAAATATTATCCTCTTCTATTCTTGGAGGGAACGAGTTGTTTGATTTTAATATATTTTGTGAACTGTGATCGGCTCGGATCGTTTAAATAAGCCGGAATGAGAGGCTTGACAAGCTTGAATTAATGGGAGCCTAAATCCAAACAATAGACTAGTTGGAATATGGGCGTTTTAAACGAGCTCTAGCTCAAATAGTTTTCCAAGAAGCTCGACTCGAGCCGAGCTAATCAAACTAATAGACAGACATATGGACCTGTGATCGATCCCACCCCACTGAAAATTTAAAGCCTTTATAATTTGAGGAACCCACAAAACTTTAATATTGTTTGTTGCTTTGTTCCATCTTAAATGTTCATAGAAGTTGCATTTTTTGCATAGCGGAAAAAAAATGATGATATTAAAAATACCAAGGCACTAAACAAATCAATATTACACAAATAGTAAGTGATATTTTCTCTTAGGGTAAATATGACTCTTTTTAATTTAGTTTAAACTTGATTTATCATACAATTAAGTTATTAATCATTCTTAAGATAAAAATTTGCCCTCTTTTCTTCATTTTTTTCTCTGTCTAATTGTTTTTGAACAAGTTGTGTCGGCAATGCATGTGGAAGAAAGAAGCTCGCCATGCGCTCTCTTTTTTATTATTCGTGGCTTACCATAAGAGTTATTGAATGTATGTCTCATCAATTCGTACTACTGCTAAAAAGTACTAATGCACTATAAATCAAAAAGGAAGGATGGAGCTAGCCATGTGTTCTGTTGGATTCTCCGCCACTTTACCATTAATAATTAGTACCATTGCTGAAAGATTTTTTTGGAAAAATTGAGGGCATAGCCCATTTCCTTTAATCAGGAACAAGTTACATGTGTAAAATGAGAACAAAAGGAGAAAGCCAAAAATACAATGCTAAAGAGATAAAAAAGTTAAACTAGAAGATGCTATGTGTATAAAACCTACACATACAATATAATTAGTAAAACAAATTAGAAGATGCTGTGTATATAACCCTAATAGTAGTGTTTTTGTTATCTTATAGTTGAGGCATCAGGTGTGTCACATCCTAGAATCTAAATTAGAAAAATTACATATCTTTTTATCTTTTATACATCAACCAGAGTTCATAGGATTCAATATAAGCATAAAAAATAATTATATTATTGTTCATGGCATATTTACATATCTGACAAGTTTCTAAAATAATATATATAATAAATAACATATAAAACCAAACGCAAAAATTAAAACCTAAGCTATAACCCATTGATTAGTCTTACTTTGTAGGTTCTTTATCCTTAATTAAAATCATATAAAAATCATGTAATGAGCACGAAGCCCAATAAATAATTAAAACTTATCACTACATTCAATGTAAGATAAATTAATCAATACATATACTCAAGTTTCAATCAATTTCAAACAATAGGCTATTAGTACGAATAATAAGTAATCTATACAGTCAATGCTAATCAATAATAAAAACCAATATAATTAGTAAAACAATAGTACTTCAATAAATAAAAGGATTATATCAATCTATAAAAAAATCAGTAAAAAAGGTATTAATCAATAACACGCATTGTATAACAAAACAAAGACTAAGTTGTCTATCAGTTATATTCATGTTGATATTTCTATTATATGCTTCTATCAATCATTATTTCATGTATCGATATGTCATATCATTATGTCATGTTAATATGATATATGAATATGTTGTATCGATATGACTATCAATGTTTATCAATGTTTTTATCATATGTTATGCCATGTTATATCAGTATCAATGTGAGTGCTATCAATTATACATTAGTTCTATATGTCAATTAACTCAATCAATTCATGTGATGTCATGTAAATATAGACATGTATATATACAATTATGAATATCGTATCGATATAAAACATATAGCTTTAATGTTGTGTTTTTAATATTTTCAATCCCAACCATTGACTAGTTAGTTGGTCATCAGTCTTAATCTCAATTGTCGATCAATTGGTCATCAAGCTTTATCTTATCATAATTATTCATAAAAGCTTAAATCAATTCACAGGTGGTTTTTAATAAATCAATGAAGAGTCGTCATTCTTTACCAGTCAACACAATTTGATTAATTGATTACAAGATAATTCCAGGATTATACCAAAAACCTTTTATTTTAAAGAAAGTTTGGCAGTCCACACTAACGTATAAGGTATTAACATTTTAGAAGCTAATATGCATTAATTATAGTATTGACAACCCACCTTCCTTATATGTAAATATTATATTTGTTATGTATAAGCTATATCATTTTCTCTATGCAATTCAATATCATATATGAAATGTAATAATCTATGAAATATAGATAAATTTATACACTATCCATTAATTTCAAAAAAATTATAACTATCAATCTAAATGATGAAATTTTCATATAAACTAGTTAAATAATTCATAATGATGATATCTATCATATACTTAAAGTTATATAATGAAAGTTCACTGAAATTGAAGATATTATATTTTTATCATTTTTTAGGAGGGAGAAATATAACAAACTCTAAATTATTAAAAACATGAGTAAGATTTAGTCAAGTACATCAATTAGAATAAAATACGTAGCAAAAGCGACATACCAAAAAGACCCAAAAGACTTTATGTCTTCTCTCTCTTTCTCCCTTCTCTTCTTCTTCTCCTTTCTTTCCTTCCCAAGCAAGGAATGTGAAATGAGGGGAGGAGTGGTGGGTGGTAGGTATATTAAAAAAAAAAAATTTAAGTGTTTAGTGCCCCGACACCTAAGACCCAACACCATAGTGTTGTATGCTGCCCCCAGAGTTACTGTAAGATAGTTAGCTCAACGCCATCGCACCAAATTCCAATACACTAATGCTGCGCTCCAACGCTGCAGAGCCTGAAAGCACATCGCTTCAACGCTGCCTACTGGATTCATATTTTCATATTATTCACACAAATTTATTTTAAAATTTTAGGTTATTACAATGTGTACCATGATCCCTTCTAAGCTAGTTCGAGTATAGACTATATTGCATTTCTGATAGCTTAGAAATGATTCAAACCATAATCATATGTGAAGGTATAAGTGGGTAAATATATGCCAAATTAATGACATAAATTAAATCGACTATCATAACCAATACTTGCAATTATATGAATTGTATAACATATTTGAAAGAAATCTTTACCTATAGGGCTGCGTAGCTCACAAATGGTGTCCAACCAATAGAGTCAAGTCATAAAAATATGACCTTTGAATACAAATATATCTGCATAGAGAATGCGTTAGCTGGGAATAGTGTAAAGATTTCGTTTGAGACAACTAAGGTGAATAAGGATTTGTTTGGGACGGCTTTCTTACTGTTTTTTAAAATAGTTTTTTAATATAAAATTTTATTTTTTGTACTAGAAAGACATTTTAAGAAGTAGTAAAAAAGCCTTCCCAAGTTTGAGACAGCTTTTTAATGCTTTCTAAAATAAATTTTTAGCATAAAAATTTATAGTTTAATAAATTTTTTTACTAAAAAACTACTTTAAGAAGCAGTAAAAAACTGTCCCAAGCTTAGTTTGAGACAGATTTCTTATTGCTTTTAAACTAATTTTTTAGTACAAAAATTCTTTTAGCTATAAAAATTTTAAAATAATTTTATACTAAAAAATTATTTTAAAAAATATTAAGAAAGTTGTACCAAATGAAGCCTAATGCTGTCTATATAACGAGAAATTATTGTGTGCGGAATTCGAATGCATTCTTAATATAGAACTATAAATATAATGATACGTTCATTAACAATTATAAAACAATGAATGTTTAATAGATTCTTTAAATTTTAATATATGATAGAAAAAAAAATGATGTACATGCCTAACTTGTAGAGAAACTTAAAAAGTGAACCATTAAATTAAAATTTTAACTATTTTTATTGTACATTGGAATTAACAAACAAAATTTTTTTTTTTGGGACATTTAGGCCATTTAAGGCAAACTCACACACACAACGCATACACATAGACTCGAACCCTGGACCTCTTAGATGGAAGCCTAAGCTCTCAACCAATAGGCCAAGGAGAGTTGTGTAAATTTCAATCCTAAACTAAGCATGAAAATTATATCAGAATATCCTAAACATTTTGTATCAGTATGTGATAATTTTTATTTAGTTAAATTTCATATTGAATAATATAAAATACTTTATTAGACAAATAAAAAAATACTACTAGATAATATAAATAACCTACTAGACATTTACAAATATAATCATAACATAAAAATTTATTATGAATATTTAATGGTTTATTTATATTATTTAATAGTTTAGTTATTTGTCTCTAATAATTTAGTTGTATTGAGAAATAACTAAAATTCAAAAATATCATAATTATGATTTAGTTATTTCTCTCTAGGGTTATAGCAGCCAGCATTTCTTCTTTCTCCCGTCCTCAGGCTAAGAAAACTGCAGGCGTCTCTCTCTTCTTCTTCTTCCTTCGTAAATGGCGCTCCCAGGTCCTTACTCCGGCGTCAGCACCCTTGCTTTTGTGAGTCTTTCGCTGTCTACCTCTCGATAGATCATTGATGTCAGTTCCTGCTAGTTATCTTAATCGAACTTGTTTCGATTGTTGGAAACAGGTTGCTCGTGTTTCGGCTCTGACTTTAGGCTTTGTCTACGGGGGCGTGAAGCTCTCCTATCTCCAGGTATTAGAGTAATCCATTTTTGTCTTGATTGGGCACAATAAGGTCATGTAGGATTGTAGGTATTCGTTTTGTGTTTCTTTGAAAGGATAGATTTAAAGAATGCAATATGGGGCCATCTGGTTGTTGATGTAGTTCTTCTTGCAGAGGATGTATTTTGATGATTCTATGATTTCCATGAGATGGCTATCTAAGTTCGATCTGAGTTTCTTTTGTGAGTGTGGCCTGTGTGGTGTGTGCTGCGGTGATTGCGTTCAGGGTTAATTTTGTGCGTCTTTGTAGTATTTGTCTTTTTTTTTTTTGGATTTGGATCTGAATTGGTTTGGATGCATTCTTTTTATTTGGTGTTGATGGCAGACCCCTCACTGAATCGGTTTGGGTATGATTTGTGCCAACTAGAACTTATAGGGCTGTTTGCCTGTTTGGATGCAAGTATAATTGTTAATCGTTTTATTAAATTTAGGAGCTTAAAATATTTGGATGTCAATAAATTCTTTTTTTTGTTGAGCTAAAATTTGAAGATTGTTTTAATGCAAATAGGATTGTATTGGAATTTGAGGGTTTTGGATTTTATTTTTGAATTAAATTGATCACCTAGGTAATTTGTTTAGCTATTGGCTATGCTTATTAAGGATCAATTAGATTTTAATAAAGCTTATTAAGGTATATATAGATGTTGCATTATGATTAATTTATTAATGATTTAATGAAATCATTTAAGTGTTATTAGTTTCTTAAGTAATTATACATATAAGAAGTATTCATTTTTTTACCTAAAGTAATTACAAATCATTATTTTGACCTACAGTGAGTAGACCCTTATTACTTTATTAGGCTTACATGTTTAGTATTTATTTGTTTTATTGGGGATTAGTGAGACTTTTTTGTAGGTAATTAAGGTATCGCTTTTTACTGTTTTATGTTGCAGCTTTCTATTTAAAAAGTTCTAGTTCAAAATTTTTTTTTACTAGAAAGTTGCTTTAGAAAACTGTCCCAAATGAAACCTAAATATACACTGATTAATAAAAATGATTCAAGTAGTTTGCACTTAATTATTGATTTAGATATTAACCTTGAATTTGATTGTGTTTAAAGTGTAATAAAAGTTAATAAAATTTTATTAAAATAACTAAGTATATTTTTTAAGTGTTGATATCGTGCATAATTAAAAAATGATTTAAGCTTATTAAAGCTTAAGGAGGGTTTAAATAGGCTAATAAATGCTCAGATTTGAATAATTATAGTTAATTAGATTTGATTATGCAAAGAACTATAATTAAATTTCTAAAATATTCATCAAGCATGTTAATTAATGATTTGTTGATTATCAGGATTTTAATTTATGGCTTCGTTATATATTCATTAGATAATTTGTTCGTAATAATCCTAACTAAGAGGTCAATTACTTAAATTCTTAAATTTGATTAAATTTTCTAAACTTCATTTTCATTTATTTAATCTAACTAAATATGATATTTATGCTAGCCCAAAAATAGCATTTGGCATGATTTAACCTAAATCTTGCCTTAATTATATTGCCAAGTTGCTCCAAAATATTATTTTAATTAAAAGCTAATGTAGAGCTAAGGATGTTTTAAATAGAAATCTTTAGATTACAAATTTTTGCTTTGACACTCACTATTCCCAAAAAAATGAAGGTTAATAATTACGATGAAAGTTCTTAAAGATATATGTAAGTTATATTCCTCAACACTTGGCTATTCCCCCAGCTTTAACAGTTTTGAATGATTTGTAAGTATACTATTTATGGTAGAATTGCTCTTTTAGGGCACATCTATGATGTTAGATTAAGTCAATGTGTCATTAATGAGTCATGATGTGTGTAGACTAAAGTGGGTTTACCAATTTGCTTTTCCATGTCAACATTGAATGCATTTAGTAATAATAAATGGCACTTGGAACTATTCAACAATCGATAATTTACATATAGACATCCCACAACACCTATAGATTGATCAGGTGATTACCTCCTATCCTTCCAGTACCTCACTTATGTCTATTCTGTTTTCTGTCAACTAATCTATAATTCTCATACAAACATTCCCAACATGTGTGGAAAGTGACTTAGTTGTTATATATGCTCTCCTTCTAGTAGATGTCAGTTGCCTATTCTGCCCCAATGTTTGTTGCATCATAAAACTGAGATGAAGATGTTTATTTCATGAAAGCCTCTATGGGAATCCTACGTTTATTTTTAAATAACTTATATTACAAACTGTATTGTAGATTCTTTGGCCTCTTGTAAACCATAGTTGTCATAGAAGAGAGTGAGTAGGAGAGAAATCGAGAGCTCGAATAGCTTTCCGTGTAAAGCTCAGCTAGTGCAATTTTTTTTTTCTCTAGGAGACCTAATTGATCATTTTATCTTTTCTCTAGAGTATTCATGTTGGTGAAATCTACAAAACTGTCTATGGAACCTATTTCACATCAACATATAGTACACATATCGGCTGCTCGATATACTTTGGAGAAAAAAAAGGATTCATGTAGCCGACCCCACATTGTAGGACAAAGGCTTGATGTTGTTGTTGTTGTAGAGTAGTTTTATTATTTTAAAAGGAGTTGGATGTAGGGGTCTAGGGTGGATTAGTGGATGTCAATTGCCACATGTTATGAGAAAACTAGATCGACTAACATAATGTGTCTTTGATTTTTGATAATAAATTATGAAAAAAAAATGATGGTTATGGGCAAGAATGTAGAATAGGGAGTTTGGTGATAAGAGAGGATTACACAATCTGAAAAACCTTTTTGATTGCCAGGAGAATGGTATTTGTATTGGAACTTTAGGATTTTTTCTTTCGTTGATATATGTTGGGAGTGAGGGAGGGGATATCTATTGTAGTTATGGAGTGGTGCATGGGGTCATCTTTATATGTGTACTTTTTACCTTTTCTTTTTTTTTTTTTTCTATTTAGTGTTGCATGAGGTATTAGACCAATTTTGCACAAATTTTTTGAATTGCTTCTCTGTATTATTTTAGGCCCTTTTATTTTCATTCTAAAATTTCAAATTGGCACACTTCAATGAAGCTCATCTTTATCCTACCTTTATCTTTAATTATTGACCCACATGTAGATAATATTCAAATTATGTAATTGCTTTTGCTCGAGTATGGTAGTTTGTAGCATCTTGTGCCCATTGGGGTCATCTTTTGATGGTGATAATTTTCTTTATAGCTCATCGCTAAATTTTGTCTACTTGTTTGATGGGTGCATTTTCCATCATTTGTTTTACTTGATTAGTAAGCTGATTTTCGACAATCTTATTTTTAATAGATTATACTATTTCCATTACACTAATATACTACTCATCAATTAATAATTTTGAGCTTTTGCATACATCCATCTTAATAGCCTCATCTTTTCTATAATCAATTTTGCTATCAACTATATTGTACTATCAAATATGTGGATCCATGCAACATAGTCAACCTCATGGTAGCTTAGTAAAGCTCCAATACCAATTTGATGTATGTCTCCTTCGGGTCTAGGGCTCTTGACACAACTAGATGATAAAAGGGATGAAACATGACATAAATCGAATTTAGAATTCCCTGTTTCGTAAACCACTAATTAAACTAAGAATTCATCCTCTTTTAGTGTAAAAAAATACTAGTAATTCACCCCAAACAATAATTTTATGATAGTCTAAATGAAAAAAAAAAATAAAACAGCAAGAAAATTGAAACCATTAAAAAAACTCATTCTGAATTCACATCACAATTAGAATACCAGTTGCAACTGTCAAGACTAAAATCCATCTAGCTCATGTCCCAATATTAACTTATGTAAATGAAAAGTGAGGTAAAATATCACAAGACAGAAAAATTCTAGTCTGAGGTTCATATAAGGAGTTGCTTTTCCCTAAAGTTTGCAACTGTTCTTAGATTACACTCAAATGAATCAACATCTAACCAAACATACAAGTTTGAGGAGAACTGAAAATTTCATCAAGCAAAGGTTATCAAATACATGCTTCAGATTTTTGTATTTGTAAACATTTATTCCTTAGTTGCTTCGAATTTCGATCATCTTAATTGATAGAATCGGGAATATAGGTGAAGAATAGCGGCAATGGATAAACACAGTTGAAAATTTGTAGTTAAAAAAATTTATAGCTACACAGTCGGCCTAACCAATTAAGTAGAAAAAAATCAGAGGCTAACTATATCATAAAAAATCATAATAATAAAGAGCACATCCTACTCTCATGCAATATCTTCGTTGGCATGTTTTAATGCATACAACTAAAGTAAAGTCACAAATATGAAATAAAAAGCTACAAAATAGAAATAAAAGAGTGTTCAATGGGCTAATTTACTCGTCTGAACTGATAAGATTTACCCTTCTGACAACTTGTATACTTTAAGATATCCACTATTTTTTGTGTGTAATTTAGGTTGTTGACGATGGAATAAAGAAATTCTGTTTTTTGCATCCCTTATGGAGATTGATTCCCCTCTTCTTCTAGATTTTTTTTCATGCTTTCTTCCTGGCTATGTTCGGGCTCCTCTTTACCTTCTCGGTTCTTTCTCTACACTGAATTTTTCCCTTCCCAACAAATCAAATACCAAGAATCTGCCCAGCTATTTTTCTTTTCCCCTGCTTGCTATTACTAATACCATAGGGATGGAGGGAGAGAGTGAGAGCAAGTTCAATTATTCTGGTAGTCAAATATATGCCTCTTCAACATCTGTGTTCCCTATATTTTTACATAATTATCTTCACCATGTTAGAAATTAGTACAGAGGGTATGGCTTAAATAGGAAAAATTATTGTGTGGACGCCGAACGTCGTCCGGAGACTAACCAGAAGTCTCGACGCTCTCTTTTCAGCCATCCAATGATAATATTTAAAGTTAAATCCTCATTTATATCCCATTCTATTGTATAATAGATCCAAGATACTTTTCATAATTATGGATTACACTATTTTTTTATAAAATATTCTTAATAACTATTGGTATCACACCACTATATTTATTGGAATTAAGTCATTTTATGTGAAAATCTTATGCCATGGCCTGTTTGGTTGGTGCTTAGACCCACTTAAGCTCCAAATGGTATGAAATCTCCTCACGGTTTAGTCTCCGAGATAAGCTACCGCCTGTCCTAAGCAACTCTAGACATGGCATAAGCTGATCGCCATCGCACTCCCACTTATATTTTCTGTACCTCTCAGTGTGATTATTGCTTCAATCTTTAGCATTTGTTTGACGATGGGCTTCTTCTCTCTCTTTCTCGAGTCCGTTCCATCACCCTTAAACCAGTTATCACTCAAGATTAATAAAAATCACATGATGATATTTTTTTCTCCTATTCTTACACCTTTTCAATTAAAAATTTACTCTTTGAATGGACTTTTACATGAAATTGAACTGATTCTATCATGCTAACATAATTATTCTATGCCTCAGTTCTATTGCCATAACTCGAGCTCACTATATTATTCTTTGCGGACGCTGGACGCAGTTCTATGTCCGGAAGTGAATCATGTGCAGCCACGTCAGCGGTATCGAGTTGCGGTACCGAGCGAAGGAGTGACGTGGCGCATTCTAGTTAGTCTCCAGACGACGTTCAGGGTCCGCAAAGAATAATTTTTCTACTATATGACTCAGTTTGATTCATTTATATTTGTCATAATCTTAAAATATCTTCTTTATTTTTAAACATTTGTACTAAAATGCTCTATTTTCAATCATTTATCATACTCATAGTCTTCAAAGTTCCATTGAAACAAATTATTAATCAAATTATTGCAATTTTGACTAATTATCTTCTTTATCATTATTTTTTTCCAGGCTAAGGCAAAGTCTCAAAAAAAAGCTGAGGAAAAGAAAGGTCATCACTAGCACTGCACTGCAGTTGTTTCGCTATGATTCTGACAATCAACCATTAATGATGATTTTTCTGTGTAATAATTTTTATTTTTGAGTCTGTTTTTCAGCCTATACAGTAAGGCAGTAGTTCTTTTCGACAGTAAACCTCTCTATGAAATCTTAATTGCTTCGTATCTTCAGAGAAAATAATGCCTAACCATGCATTGGACCACATTGCATATTTGATTAGAATATTTGAGTATAATTTTTATTCTTTAGAGTTCTTAGTTATGAAGCTATAAACCCTGCATTCAAATCTTTTTTTGGTGAAAATTCTGTACAAGTTTGGTTCTGATTGCTTGAAACCCAATTTATGGTGTTTTAATTGGTAAAATTGCGACAGGAAATGAGGTTTATGTTTATTTATTTAATACTTACATCATCCATATGAAGTTATTACTAACTTTGGGATATATATAAGAGGATTATTATGAGGTGGAGTTTAAATTTTTTACTTACCCAAAAATACTTTTCATGGATTTAGATATCATTTGGTACAACTTTCTTATTATTTCTTAAAGCAACTATATATATAAGAGGATTATTAAGTGGTGGAGTTTAAATTTTCAACTTACCCTAAAATATGTTACATATATTTAGATATTGGTTGGGACAGCTTTTTTACTACTTCTTAAAACAATTTTTAGTAGAAAATTTAAATTTTTTATACTTGAAAGCTACTTTAAGAAGTAGTAAAAAAGTCGTCCCAAACGAAAGGTTTTGTTTGAGATGACTTTTTTACTGCTTCTAAAATAGCTATCTTGTACAAAAAATTTTAGTTCACGTAATTTTTGTACTAAAAAGTTATTTTAGTAAGCAGTAAAAAAAAAGCCTGGACTGAAGCCTAAAACTTCTTTTTGAAAGGAAGGAAGGATAATATTTCTAGATTTCTTTTCTTTTATAATATGAATTAATTAAAATATCAAACCATGATGATTGTTTTATGTCAAATTATTGATTCAGCAAGAAGAGAGATGTCTATATATTCTCTCGTTCTTTTTAGCCGTCACTCAATGATAAAAGTGAATAAGAGAACTAAATGTGCCCGGTCACCAACTAACTAATAATTCTCAAGTTATTTTTCTTGTATGACACTAAGAAGCTTAGCGATAACACATAATTAGAAAGAGCTAAGTGAGCTTGTAACATTCGCTTAGGTTTTGTTTGGGACAATTTTCTTACTATTTTTTAAAACAATTTTTTGATATAAAAATATCTTGAATTAGAAATTTTTGTACTAGAAATTTGCTTTAAAAAGCAGCAAAAAAAACTGACCCAAATAAAGCCTTAGTTGATTATATTTTTACTATGCAATACTATGTGTAACATGGTGTGGCAAAAATCCAGATAAAAGGGAGATAAAAGCATAATAATAATAATATCTAATTAAAATAATATAATTACAATAAATTTTTAGCCAATTAATTAAGATAAATTCTATGTTTAACCCCTTAACAAATTATTTTAAATTTTATGCTTATTAAGTTTATATATTGAGGCCTATAATATATCATTAATGAGATCCCATGAAAGGTATTTTGACTGAATCCTATAATATATCATTAGCATAATTATTCCAAGATGTTATAGAATCTATCAATTTTCTTCTTTTAAAATCTGAGCACTCATTTTCCTTTAAAGTTATATTTTATTCAGCCAAAAAACAAACATTTATTTAATACATAAATGTTAAAAAAAAACATAATTTTTTTTAATGTATTGGATAACTTTTCTTGCATCTTATGGATTAATTTAATACATTATGGTTTTTAAAACAGGCATTCCATTTAAAGGCACTATCCAACAATATTATATTCTACTATTCATTACATTAAACAAGGCAACAAGCTGTGATACACTGAGAAAGGATGAAAATGTGTTTTATTTTTTGTTTTTTGTTATAATCTTATTTGCATGTAGCAAAAACTTACAATTTGAATCAAACATCTAAACCACCAAATTACTATACTATTTATATAGGCAACAATACAAAATTGTCATCAAACTATAACATTTTGCCACCAACGTACGCTCAAATTTGTTGCATCATGCATGTTTACGTTCACGTAAATCATACATAAATTAATTTAGCATCAATATTTTTCCTATAAATATCCAACCCAAGTGAGAGAATAAGCAAGCAATTAAAATCTTCAAATCTCATCAAAGTTCAAGCCTTCTTGTCAAAATGGCAAATTCTCTAGCTCTGCCATCACTACTATTACTATCACTAATCATATTAGCAAGTCTTAACCTTTGTGTTTGCATGCGCTACTCCCCTCTTCTTGGTCAGTGCAACCCAAGCGGCTATCTTCATGGAAGGACCGAAAATTGCAATCAAGAGAATGATTCTGACTGTTGTAGGGGTGGCGAGTCGTATCCTCAATACCATTGCTCGCCACAAGTTACGGGCGAAACAAAAGCAATCATGACCATCAATAGCTTTGCTAAAGGTGGAGATGGTGGTGGCCCTTCAGAGTGTGACAACAAATATCATAGTGACAATGAGAAGGTAGTGGCTCTCTCAACTGGATGGTACAATCACGGGAGTCGTTGCTTGAAAAACATTAGGATAAATGCCAACGGGAGGTCGGTTTTGGCTAAGGTTGTGGATGAGTGCGACTCAGTAAATGGTTGTGACTATGATCATGACTATCAACCGCCATGCCAAAATAATATTGTTGATGCTTCTCCTGCCGTGTGGAAGGCATTAGAGATTCCAAAGGCTGATATTGGTGAATACCACATAACATGGTCTGAAGCTTGAATACTAAGTTAGTTATTCTATGTGGGCTAAGATGGATAAGCCTGGTTTCACTTAATGATGCATGTGAAAATTATGTATACTTTGTTGTTATCTCTATCTGCATGTACACTTATAAACTTTAAATCAAAATTTCATCTTCCATTTTGATTATATGAAGCAATTTTGTTATTAATAGTATTGTTAATCTATGAGCTTAAATATTATGTTTTAATTAATCCATAAAATAAGAAACAAACATTGTAGCAAGTCAACTTTAGGACCCATGTATAGGATTATCATGGAGAAACTTATAAATTAGGATAGGCTCTTATGTTGGTTGCAAGAGTAAGTCTGAATATCTTAGACAGTTAGACTTACCAATCAAAGAGATATTGCCCAATTTTCATGATATGTATTAAACATTTTATCATGACAATAACATTCACCCTTCCATATCGAACTTATATCTAATGATTTCTTCTATCATCATTATTCACAAGTTATCATAAACTTTAGGAACTTTTGTCCTACATATAGGAAAGAGATTCATGTCATGATTATTGGACAAGTTTTATGCTGGCTGTCGATTACTTAACGCAACCCTCCACGTTTCTCTTATCTTCATACACGCTTTCCAGTTATGAGAGTAGATTTATTAGATTTGGCTTATGTTAAGAAAGAGGTAGACCTAAAAAAACTTGGCTAGAAAATATTAGAAATGCCATTCTTTATTAGATTTAAATAAGAATTTGACTCTTAATAGAACACAATAGAGAAAAAGGATTCATGTAGCCGACTCAGCGTAGTGAGATAAAGGCTTGATTTTGTTTTTGTATATAGGGAACAAGTGTTGCACCTATTAAAATGTAAGCTTAATTTTCTGCCCCCCCTAAGAATAATGAGCTAGAAGATTTAGTTGTCAAGCTCCTATGTAATTTATTTATGGGTTATTTCCATAAAAGCATTATAGATAATTTTATTATATTTTTATTTATCTATATTTTCTTTATATGGAGGAGAGGAATTAAAACTGTAATTCCATGTAATCAAACCATAGAAAAAACTATAGTGATGATAACAAGATGTATTTAGCTATCAATTTAATTTGACGCATTTATATAATATTTTACATATGTTAATTAGCATTCTATTCTATGATCTATTCTTTTTGGTTACCAATATTTGAATTCAATTTTGTCTATTTCCCAACACAACATTTATTATACAAACACACTCACAAATAGAAGATAGAAAATGGAATCAGGATTGCTCCTTTGTTTCTCTAGATATATTATTTGCTTTAGATTGTATTTGTATTGGGATCTTCATTTATTTGTTCCAACATTGGTTGCTCTATTATTGCTTGATCATTTTCTTCAAAATTAGGAGCAATGTTTGTGTTTATTATGTAGATCATAAACCCACAAACCTTCTTCATCGAAGATGGTGTTTTAGTTAATGATGCTATGTTGTCATTATTTGAATTATATAGCTTGTAGCATTTGGAGTACATACATGGATGATAAAGATGAACATATCATTTAGATTGATTCTAATCATCACAAATAAGCATATGGGCAATGCTTTTATAGTGTGATAGGCAAACATGGACAGATTGAGTCAGGTGTTTTCACGTGAACGAAACAGCAGGACGGAGCGAGCGAAACCGCCAAGTGCCTGCGATCTTTAAATTTTAAAGCATTCATATGATCAATTGAGAAATTTGGTTTCAATCCATTATGAACTTGCTCTTTTATCTACACAAAATACATATCTTCTATTTAAGCTTCATGACTTCGATCAACAATCTTCGGTTGAATATGCATGCAAATAAAAAAATAGTTGCCTCATGATGTTACTATGTGAAATTGAAGTCGCTCCATTTCATGCACTAATTTTCACTTCCTAGCGATCATCCATACTGCATAAGATCGACGAAGACTTCATGTTGAAAGCATGTACTACTACAGTAGATTTGCATAAGTGATACATAACCGAACCATGCCTCTGATTTCCTTCTTCACATGCAAAAAGATCGAGTGGCCCCCCATCTACGATGTTGATCTCCAATCACACGAATCACCCAATTTGCCCACCTCTCGTGATTTTTCCTGCTCCCGACCTTCCCTCTTCCATTTAAGCAAATAGGAAACCTAGGGAATTAAATTTCCTCTCTCATCTACTGCAATAGCCACCAAAAACCTTCTTTCTCCTTCCCCATTATTTTTTCCTCGCAACATTAGCCACAGGAAAACTTTTCTCAATCTCCACTCATTCTATAGTGAGTTTCTTTCCCTCTCCTTCTCTCTTTCCTTATCTTTTTCTTCTTCTTATGTTTCAAGTCATTTTATTAAGAGTTTCTTTTTTGTCTAATGCAAAGTTGGATTCAATTAGTATCGATTTTAGTATATCCTTGAATTCCTTTTAGTTTGGCTTTAGCTCGTGAAGAAGAAATTTTTATTTATCACTTTAATTTGAGTAGATTAAATCCTAGACTATCTTGATCTTTACCCCTCATTGTATATATAGCTTCTTAGTTGTAGTGGTGTAGTTTAGATAGAGTAATTTAGATGTCTCGAACAATGTATTCATAATTATTTGTTTTCGCTAGATCCCTTGTAGGACCTCCGCTTGGTGGAGTCGAGTGAACTGCAATGGAGGATAGATTTCGTGGCAACCACCATAAATAATTGTTATTTATCAAGGGATAAATATACCTTTATTTGTTAGGGACATTATCCTTGTTTCTTGTGCTAGGTTACTAGATATTGAGTTGTCAGTCTTGTATTAAATTTTTCAGTATGATTACAAACATGTAATAAATCTTCTTTGTTGTTCATAATAAAATTAACATGTGATAGAACTAACTCTACCTTGATTTTTTTTTCACTAGTACTTATTCATTTAAGTTAAATTCATGTGATGGAGAATTTTAATTCAACCACCTTAGTTCTGCTAAACAAAATAAATATCATTCATACAAACCACATTAATTATACAAATTATCTCTAGCATGTTGATTTATATAATACATGTGAAAAATATTGCAACAATATAGACACTGTATGGTTGTACGTAGGTTGGTAGGCCATATTGGATATTAGATAGACGGACCCATAGACCCAAATAGTGACGACTCCATAGAAAGTCATTGAATTATCTTAGGTTGTTGTTTACCTTCCCGGTGAGGGGTACTTGACAGACCAATTATAGATATATGTAGATGTGTGTGTGTGTCTCTCATTTGTGATTGTTTATACTACATGCACCATTCTTTCTAAAGTAAATATATTTATTTTTTTGATAAAAATATTTATTATAAATTTAAGATGTTTTAGTTGCATTTATTTTGATATTAATTTGTGATAATATTTTTATAATATATCTTGATATCATCCAGTATAGTTATATCTATAATCTATAATATAATAATAGTTTCAATATTAAGTTGGAAATTGTTACATTATTTAATACAATGTAATTAACAATAATCATATTCATGGCATGTAGAAAAGTAATATATCATCACTGTTATAGCATAGTATGCAAAAGGATGTTATGAATGCTAATAATCTACATACTCTGTTTAATGTTGTATTATATATTAGGAATGTTACAATATATATTGATATATCATAAAAAATTTATCTTGATCAAGCAGGAATCTCAAGGCAAATTTATATTGAAAACTTTCAAAATTAAATTCGCCTTAACTTGATCATCCATTCAAAGCACTCCCAACATTCCCCTTGATCTTCTCCCTATTTACTGATCATGCCACTACCAAAAAATTATAAATAGACTCCTCATTCTTTATTGAGGCGGGGAGAGAGAGAGAGAGAGAGAGAGAGAGAGAGAGAGAGAGAGAGAGCAAAGGGGTAGAAAAAGAAAGATGAGAGGAAGAGAAATATGAGATTTCTATTGCTACTAAGCTCCTCCTTGACCACCTCCATGTCACCGGCTATCATCGGACTTCTGCTCAGCCACCAACTATCACCAGACTTACCCCCAGCCACCAAATGACGTCATATTTTCACCTGGCCGCTGACTGTCATTGGTCCTTCTGATCACAATCACCCCACTACAGTCTTTTTGACCACCGTCACCCGCCAACTACAATCCTTCGATCATACCTTCGTTGCTAGACAATAGTGTTTCTGACCACCTTCGCCCGCTGACTATGATCCTTCTGACCTACTTCGCCAGAAAATGGTCTTTCTGACCACCTTTGCCATCAATTGCAGTCCTTAATTCTGACCTCCACCACCATATAACGATCAATCTAACCACCGTCGCTTCAATCTATGGTCCTTTCGACCACTTTAGCCAGACTAAGGTCTTTTTGATCTCTGTCAAACATTGATTATAATCATTCCAACCATCGTTATCCGACTATGGTCTTTCCGATTTCCATTGCCTGACTATGGTATTTCTAACAACCGTCACCCAGCTACAGTCCTTCCGACATGCATAACTCATCGACTATGGTCCTGTTAACTAAACAAACATGTCAATACTAATTCTTCCAACTCCCAATATGTAATGAACTCTATATAATGTATATTGGCTACATCGAGCAAAGGCCTTCACCCTAAGGAAGGGTCTCATTTGTAATCAACTGCAAATATTAGTGGATTCTTTCAAACTGGACCAGACCCTGTGATTTTTCCCTTTTCAAAATTTTTTACGTAAAAATCTTGATGTCTCATATGAATGCTGTACCTCTACTCTTTTATATGTATGAGTTCAAGATCTTCGTATAAAACTAAGACATTAAACTTTATATTTCTCCACCGCCGTGAATATATATTCCAAGATGCAACACATGGATTGTTGCATTCTGAAACATTCATGGCAGTAGAGATATGTAGAGTTTAGTGTTCTAGTTTTGTACGAAGTTCCAACACATAGATAGATATGATAGAGGGATGTAAGAGTAATAAGATATATCTCATTTTTTATATGGAAAACTCTAAAAAAGAAAAAAAATCATGGGTCTTGCCTAGTTGAAAATGAACACACTAGTATTTATAATTGATTACAAATAATGCCCTTCATCGGGGGAAGGCATTGGCTTAATGTAGCAAATATACATCATATAGAGCATATTATATAATTCAAGTTGAAGCAATCCAAGGACATGAGAGTTGTTGTCAAAAGAACAATGGCCTGTATGTTTGGTTGGTAGGATTATAGTCTGGCAATGAAGGTCGGAGAGATTATAATTAGAAGATTAAGGTCAAGGAGATCTTTGTCTGGTGATAGAGGTCAGAGGAACCGTAGTCGATGAGCGACTGAGGTCGAAGGAACCATAGTTGGCTGGCGATGGTGGTCGAAGGGACCATAACCGGGAGGCGATAGTGGTTGGAGTAGTTGTAGTTGGTAGGCGATGGTGGTCGAAGGGGTTTTAGTCAGAGGGGAGGTAGTCAGGGGGTGATGGAGGTGGAAAGGATTGTAGTTGATAGGAAACGATAGCCGTAGGGATTGTAATAAGGAGATAAAGGGTGGAGGGACTATAGTTGGACGAATAATGTTAAGGGAACTATTTTCTAGTGATAATGGTCAGGGGTGATCATAGTCATTGGGCTATGAAGGTCAGAGGAACTATAGTCGACGAGCGATGGAGGTCGAATGAAGGCCTCACGGTGGTTGTCAGATGAAGGTTTGATGGCATTGGTCGGGCAAAGGTCCAACCGTGGGGGCTTGGTGGCATGGGTTTGCTAGTGGTGGTGCCAGGGTTGAGCTCCGGGATTCTTGAAACCTCAAAGCTCTCTTGCGTCTCTAGCCCAGGGTCTAAGCATCCAAAGATCTGAACCCCCTTCCATGTGGGAAGAGAGGGTCTATTTATAGATTTTGAGAGTGACATGCTTCATAAACATGAAGAATATCCAGGATAAGTTTGGAATGCTCCATCAGATAACCCATATTGATTCCCTCGATTAAAGAACATTTGTTCAGCATGTTAGTGTCTTAATGACGCCATATTTAAGCGATATTAGGCTCGTTGGATTTGTCTCATCGAGCTGGTCGATTCTACTATAAGAATGCTATACTTGAATATCATTTGGTCATCCAATTAAAGCTTAATTTGGAGTTTCCAAATATACTTTAAGCCTTTGATTTGAGCCCATTTAGCTCAGATTGGACCAATTTTGGTGTCATTGGGATCTTCTCGTTGAAACGTTCAATTTGATTATATATTTACTGAAATTGGAGTTTGAATGATCTCAAATTTAATCTTGAAAGTTTCCAATTCAAATATGTATCTAGATTTGTGCCTGATCAAGCCAATTTTTGGTGGCATATCAGTTGTCCCCTTATTTTTGGACGTTGAAACTTGCGGAATCTGAAAATATGTGTCTAAGCCTTCTAAGAAGTTGCGATGTAAAATTATAATTTTCATATAATTATGAGATGCGACTGCCTGCACTTCATTTTAATACTCATATTTTCATACTTGTTGAGTGCCCGGACTTGGAAGGACACAATGCCGTCATTTGTCATAATTTTAACTCATATTAAGATGCTTTTGCAATACTACAATTCATTTTGGTAAACACTTTATACTATATGCTTTAATTTCAATTTTATTACACACACCCAAATTTTTATAAACTCAAAAACACATTACTCCTACAAAATACAACTTCAAACTCAAAAAAAAAAAAAAAAAATCTCTCTTTAAAGTTTTGCTTCTTTTATCCTTCTTCAGTCTAGGCTTCTCATATGATACTTAAGTCTCAAGGGGAGAGAATAGTTTATACATATTGAAAACTTATCCACACAAGATATTATTCATCTACCAAAGCCATCTCAATCATTCATTCTTCACCTACCAAATCCATAACACACACTTCTCATATAAATTATCAAACATAACAATTTTCAACTACTTTCTTTTTCTGATATCTTGCTCTCTACTTTCAGTTTTAGAAGACTAAAATGCCACTTTCTCTCTCTTTCATGCAATGAAACAAGCCCTTGGGTTTTGCACCCCTAGTCCAGCCCAAAGATGGCTGAAATATATGTGACCAACCTATTTCCTAAGTATTGTCTCATCTATGGTGAAACTAAAAAACAAAAATGACTGAGGATTATAATTATTACCTTACTTACAAGATTAATATATTCATCCTAAAAGCTTAAAAACAACTATCTTATTTTGGAGGAGGCCAGATGCAACTCTACGTCCGAAAGCGAATCAGGTGATGCCACATCAGCGGTATTGAGCCGCAGTACACAGCGAAGGGGTGACTTGGCACATTCTGGTTGTCTCTGAATGACGTTCGAAAAGAATAATTAATAAGCCCACTTATTTTTTCCTCAAAATAAAAAAAGCAGATTTGCATCAAAGTGTTGTAAGACATACAAAAAACAAAACCTTTTCAATGAAGCAAGTCATTTTCCTGTCCTTACTCAGTTATCATCATTCATACACTGATTGATTCAATTAGTTGAAAAGTTCCCATCAGAACCCTCATCCTTTCCTCTTCCCATTCCTCAAAGGAATAACATTGAAGTGGACTCAAAGAAAAGAAACACTCACTTTTCATCATATATATCATCTTTAGCAAATCCAAAGCCACAAACCAACTTCACACTCCTCTCATCTTCCTTTCTTTCTTCATTCTTACCAAAGCAATTCATGTAAAGTGATCAATGAAGAACATTACCTGCAACTATTGCTGATTCTTAGAATCTATCAATAGATATATCTTTCTCCCTATCTTTTGCAAGCAGTAGAGATGGAAAGAGGGAGAAGCCGCGGTGTTGGTGCTTTCATGGTGAAAGCCGAGATCGACACGAGTTTGCCGTTTCGATCCGTGAAGGAAGCTGTCATGCTATTTGGGGAGAAAGTCTTGGCTGGAGAGATTGAAAATAAACTCAATGACGTATGGTTTGTTATTCTTCTGCGTATTTTGGTTACTTCCTTTAAGCCTTACAGTCACCTTATATGCATTTTGGATTTGCAGAATGATCGATATAATAATGCAGGCCTCGATTAAGTTTAGTTTACTATCTGAAGGTGTGATTGCGTCTTCCTACTTAAAGACAAATATTTTAGAAGCGCTGAAAATCGAGAGTTTTGACTTTATAGAACGCTAAGTCTTCATTTGGGACAGCATTTTTTATTCTTTCTAAAACAGCTTTTTTATCATAATTTTTTTAATTAGAATTTTTATATTAAAAAGTCGTTTTAGAAAACATTAAGAAAGTTATACCAAAGAAAGTCTAAGGCTTCGTTTGGGACGGTTTTTTAATTGTTTCTTAAAACAGAGAAGTAATAAAAAAGCCATCCCAAATGAAGTCTAATGGAGGGCTTTCTTACTGTTTCTTAAAGCAGCTTTCTAATAAAAAAAATTAATTTTTGAACTAAAAAATTATTTTAAGAAGCAATAACAAAACTGTCCTAAACGAAGACTAAGGTTTCGTTTGGGACGGCTTTCTTAATGCTTTTTAAAGAAGCTTTTTAATACAAAAAATAAAATTTTTGTATTAGAAAACAACTTTAAAAAACAGTAAAAAAGCCGTCCCAAACGAAGCCTAACAAAATTAAAAAAAAAAATTGCCGACTGAAGAAAAATTGAATTCATTGCTTTCTATCCTTAAGCTACCAAATAAATCGTTAAGTTTTATATTTTTTTCTCATGCATTAGATCCTTCTGATATTCTGAATTTCTCAGTAGCTTGCCTGTTGTGACAGACTTCCAGTTATGAATGATGGAAAAATTTACAGTTCATTGTATTCCAGTATATTTCTCTTGTAAAATATATGTGTTATGACTTAATAATAATAATAATAATAATAATGAAAGATAAAAGTTGGTTTCTTCCCAGACAAAAACAATAATATTTTACAAGTCATTAGATGGGCGCGGTCACCGAGATCTAAATTTAGATATGTTGAATTTTTTTTGCTTAAAGATATTAAATTTTGACTGGCGGCCTTCCAATGACCCGGTTAGGAGAGTAGAGGTATTAGATTTGACTTATGTTAAGAAAGGTAGAGGCAGACCTAAAAAGACTTGGTTAGAAAATATTAGGAATGACCTTTCTTTTTTAGATTTAAACGAAAATTTGACCTTTAATGGGACACAATGGAGAAAAAAGATTAATGTAGCCGACCCCACGTAGTGGGATAAAGGCTTGATGATGTTGATGTTGATGTTGTTGAAAGATATTAATTTTTGAGAATTTTAAATTCGAATTTTTTCTTATTATTATTGTTTCTAATTATGATCTCTTTTCTTCTTAATTCTTTGTAAAGTGATTCCCAAATTGGATCCGAATATAAAGATCATATGTAATCATAATAACATAGGCTTCATTTGGAACGACTTTCTTGTTGTTACTTAAAACAGTTTTTTAGTATAACACATTTAATTTTTGTACCAAAAAGCTGCTTTAAGAAACAAAAAAAAAGTTGTCCCAAACAAAACTTTAGGGGATGACTTTCTTACTGTTTTTAAAGCATTTTTTAGTATGAAAATTTTTTATACTAAAAAATTTTGTACAAAAAACTGCTTTAAAAAATAATAAGAAAACCATCTCAAAAGAAACCTTAATATTGTAGTTGTCATTGTGCCAATCTTATATCTATATTGACTGACATTCGGTCTATATAATAAAAAATTGAGATATATTTCTACCATTTTATATAAAATTAGGCTGATTTTCAGCATGCTTATTCATTGATGAGGTTTTTTTTTTTAATTTCTATTAACTAAAATTAGTTTTGTATATTCATTTGCATCTTACCAACTATATTCATTATTAGATAATGGAAGGATAGAAAACCATTAAGGCCAATCATTGCCTTTAAGGGAGGTTAAGGGATGATAAATCCAATGTAATTGAAGTTGACAAAATATATTTCTCAACAAAAAATCTTAAACCTATGAGTGAAGACCAAATATTATCATTTTAAAGCTAGTCTATTTTTTTATTTATTCGATATGAAATTAAATTTAATGTTCCCATACCCTTTAATAACTCGTTCATGGTGGGCGGTAGGTAAGATCTTCAAAAATAATGTAAAGCTTCCGTGTGTTGAAGAAGATGATGTGCATGATTGAGATTAACGAGGGTTAGGAGTGGGGAGGTTGGGTGGGTGGGTGACATGGTAGTTTAGTGAAGGGATTATTTTTGTGGCCTTATAAGGGGATGCAAAATGTGTTTGGATGTCTTGGGACTAGACTAAAAGGTTGCAAAGATTTTTAGGGTTTGTGTAAACCTAAGAGAAGGCATGGGAGTAGAGGGATGTCTTTTGGGGTGCTTAGGGTTCACCTAGGGTTTGTGTGGGTTGGCCAAGATTTTAGGGTTTGTGTGGATTTGTGTGGGTTCGCCCACTTTTGGGGTGCCTAGGATTTGTATTTGGAAGACAACTTCAAAGCTATCTTTAGGGTTTTTGCTTTCTGTGAGAGGGAAAAAAAGGGGAAATATTTACGCTCGTAGGAAGAGAAGTGGTCAAGCAAGGGAATAAGATAATTGACCAAAAAGAAAACACAAGAGATAGCTCAGGACCTAGCTTGCCTTAGGTTTTGACTTTATGGGGGAGCGGATAAAACGGAGGCATCTACTGTTGTAGGAAACAAAGTGGTTGAATGATGGAAGAAGATAATTAGAAAAAATTCTCACACAAACATGACATACGTAAGCTTTAGCTCTAAGACCTTTTGATTGGTAGCCAAAGCTCCCAACCAACATATCAACATGAGCTGTGTTGGAGGAACTATGTGCTTTGTGTTAAGCTTAATACAATAATTGATGGAAACTTACCAATGCTAAAGCTTAAAATAAATAAAGGAAAGTGACCCACTAATATTTTAAGAACTTCATTCTTCATTTTCAGCATGATGTTATTCTTCAGTCTCGTGTATAACCAATAAGAAGAAAAATTCAATTCTGCACATCATTTCAGCTAAGATTCCACCATTCTAGGAAAAACCCAATACTGAACAATTAAATTAAAAACAAAACCCTTAAAACGTGGATGAATTATTCTATGTGAAAGCCGAACGCCGTCCAGAGTTCAATGAAAATGCACCACGTCACCCCCTACTTGGTACTGTGGCTCGGTACTACTTGGTACTGGATGACGTGGCTGCACCTGATTCGTCTCTAGACGATAAGCTGTGTCTATTGTCCGCACAGAATAATCTCTCTAAAATGCGACTCCTTGAAAAGCTCCAACCTTTTCATTAATAACCCATTTAAGCCCTTTTGTGTCCTTTCTACAACACATCAGGCATTCAATGTTACTCATTATATCATTTGTTCTTTCTCTTCACTTAGATGCGAGCGACAGCTAGCAAAAACAGGCAGACCACCTCAAGCCTTCACTCCCTAGAAAAAGAGCTGGAACAGACAAGACAAAACCTCTTTAATGCAAGAGAAGAAAGAAAAGAAACGGTAAACTACCTCAACTCTCTCATTCAAGAGCTAGAGAAGACAAAGATTGAACTTCAGCAACTGAAAGCTAGACAAAGAGAAATGCCAACTATGGACTTGGAGATTGAGAAAATCAAGTTTGTAGAGAATTCAATGCCTATTCTCAACCAAGTTACAGAATTTCAGAGCAAGAAATATGCCAAGTTCAACAATCCACCATCTTCAGGGCGGTTCTTGAGCTCTGAACATCTCCTTTCAGATAGGAAAGTTTCCATGGATAGGGAAGTATCGGAAATGAGGAAGAAGAAGAAGAATAAGAGGGCATTGCTTCCTATGATAGCTTCTATGTTTTCTAATAAGAAAGGTTGCAGATATTAAGGGTCAATGACAATCTCACCAAGTAAAAGGATCAGCTCAGAGATTTGATTCATGTTTCTGAAGCAAGAAAAAATAATCATGTTTATGTTTTCATCTTATAATGTGTATCTAAGCTAAATTTTCTGTTTGTAAGAGAATATAGTGTGCTTATTTCTTCATCTTTTGCTTTTGTAAAATGATGGAAGTTGAATTTAAAATTAGTTTCTTGCAAGAAATGGTTTCAGAAGTTCCTAAATTCTTGAGTGCACATCTTATCCAAAAACTAGCAATTTTGGGTTGGCCCAGATCATTCGAGTCATGTCGGGTTGACCCGGACCCAAAGCGGGTCTCGGGTCCAAAAAACTGACTCGTTTGCAAAAAAGATCAGTGATGTGGTTTCACATTAATTAACTTACTCCGTAAGCTTAGATGATACTCATATGATCCGTTTTACACTATCACTATCACTACTCATATGTTTACTGCCAGATTAAGTAAATATAAGCTATAGTACAACCATTAGCAGCATACTATCCCAGTTTTTCTGTTTTTAGTATTTGAACGTCCTAAGGGTTATAGTAAGCAAACGATGGAGAGAAAACACTCAAAAGAGTATTATTACTGTTTTTTACAGGTTTAGAAAACCTTGTTTCTCTGTTTTCCATTTTCCCTGTGTTTTGTTTTTCTCCAGGTTATAAAGCTTCTACAGCAGTTGGGTTCGGGTTGACTTGAATAGTACCGGGTCAGTTTCGGATTCGACCTGAATCCGACCCATGACCCGAAATTGACACCCCTATTATAACATAATTCATTTTGCGACAAAACTTTATATTATCATAATAGTGCCCATACAATTACACATTAGATGTATTTCTACTTCTGACATAGATTGATCTCCCTTCGCAACATTTTTCGTAAGGTCATTTATAAACCGTTTGCTTTGATGCTCAAACAAATCCTATCTCACATCATTCATCTTACATAGTTAGAACAATTTATTAGTAATTGAAACATTAATTAAAAAACAATAATCTTATAGAATCCATAGGGTGAACTCTCTGCCCTCCAAAGTATTTATATGCTAAAATTGATTTATAAAACTTTTGACTATATCAATTGAAGATATATACTACATAAACAAATGAGTAAATGGATATATTTATCATCAAAGTTTTATGTTTGATTGGTTAACGATCGCTCCTTAAGAGAATATTTTTATTCTCAAATGAACTTAAACTTTAACCTTCATGTTAATTCTCATGTGAGTGATATCATTTCTAATGGAGAATGGTATCACCCTATCCCTTTCTCTATAATTTAAGCAACATATCTCAACTTTATTAAGTTTATTCAAGTTTTCTTTATCAGATACATTCCACTTTGGAATGGAAAAGAAGCCTACTCCCCTTCTCAAAGCCAATAAAGCTACATTCTTTGAAATTCTTAATCTTCAATAGACCAAATTTTGTTGAATAGATGGATATTCCAATGGTATCCTATGTACACTTGAATGACTTGCCTAAAAGAGCTTAAAATGGGGGATTTTTTTTCCGGGGGGGACTGCATTTAGACCAATTAAGGTAAACTCACATACATCACATGCATAAAACTCGAACTGAATTTGTTGGTAGCGAAAGCTTCCAAATAATATACCAATGTGAGCTGCATATAAAATGGGGGATAATTTATTTTCTATGAAAATTAATATCAATTGTTCATTATTCATAGAGTAATGAGAGTAATGAGACTAAGGTTTCATTTGTGACAACTTTTTTGTTGCTTCTTAAAGCAGTTTTTTAGTACAAAAATTAAAATTTTTGCATTAGAAAGCTACTTTAAGAAGCAACAAAAAAATTATCCCAAACAAAATCTAATTCTCAAATTTTCTTTGTTTCTCTTATCCAATGTAGCTAGTAAAGATTTAGCTTCAAAGCAGCCATTTATTTCTACTATAAGAAACAGTAATGCAAATTTTGGAATTCAGCAATTCATGTCATTTCAAGTTTTCTTTATCAGACACATTCCACTTTGGAATGGAAAAGAAGCCTACTCCCCTTCTCAAAGCCAATAAAGCTACATTCTTTGAAATTCTTAATCTTCAATAGACCAAATTTGGTTGAATAAATGGATATTCCTATGGTATCCTATATACACTTGAATGACTTGCCTAAAAGAGCTTAAAATGGGGGATTTTTTTTTCCCGGGGGGGCGGGAGACTGCATTTAGACCAATTAAGATAAACTCACACACTTCACATACGTAAAACTCGAACTGAAGACTTCTTGGTTGGTAGCGAAAGCTTCCAAATAATATACCAATGTGAGTTGCATATAAAATGGGGGATAATTTATTTTCTATGAAAATTAATATCAATTGTTCATATGTTCATTATTCATAGAGTAATGAGAGTAATGAGACTAAGGCTTCGTTTGGGACGGCTTTCTTATTGCTTTTTAAAGCAGCTTTCTAGTATAAACAATTTAGTTTTTGAATTAGAAAGTTGTTTCAAGAAGCAATAAAAAAGCCGTCCCAAACAAAGCCTAAGGCTTCATTTGGGACAACTTTTTTGCTGCTTCTTAAAACAGTTTTCTAGTACAAAAATTAAATTTTTTGCATTAGAAAGCTACTTTAAGAAGCAACAAAAAAGCTATCCCAAACAAAATCTAATTCTCAATTTTTCTTTCTATTATCCAATGTAGCTAGTAAAGATTTAGCTTCAAAGCAGCCATTTATTTCTACCATAAGAAACAGTAATGCAAATTTTGGAATTCAGCAATTCATGTCATTATCACCATACTGTAAGAAAGCTTTTTTTTTTTTTTTTGAAATTTCAGTTTATAATATTTTGTTAGACTTAGATTCCTTTTATAGTTTATTGGTTGGGAGGAGATTAGGCTTTCAATTAACAAAGAGGTCTCCTATATGAGTAAATAAAATGTTGAGATTAAATTCACTCCAAATTAAAAGAAAAAAAAAACTCCAATTTCCTCATCTTTTTTATTTCTAAACTTTTTATTTTCACTTTAATATTGTTGTTGTTGGTTCCCAAATCTTAGATGAGAAAAGTAAAGGGTTGCGCTTGGTAATCGACAGCCAGCGTAAAATTTGTTTAATAATCATGATATTGAAATGACATTTTTATTATATTTAAATGAGAATTTAACTCTCAATAGGGTACAATAGAGAAAAATTATTCATGTAACCGATCGCACGTAGTTTGATAAAGACTTGATGTTGTTGTTATTATTGTTTAAATTTCTGTAAACTAAACAAAACCTTAGAGGTATATATGCAAAATATCTTGAAGTATTTGTCTAGTGAAAATTATGCTAACGAGTATGAATTAGAGGAGTGCAGTCGAGAAACAATAAAGGATTATACCAATGATATATATATATGAGATTAAATTTGATATCCTAATCTATCTTAACAAATTGGTAGATGAATATCAGCTCATGCACATGGTGGTCAATTGAACTGAAGTCCAAGTGGCTTTAGCCTTTCAACAAGAAAGCTTAGTTCACATGGCTTGTCATAATTATGCTGTGGTTATCATAGTTTACTGCCAAAGGCCTAAAGTAATGGGAAACAATAAAGGATTTTGTCTCTTTAGGACTAAGAGACATTATTCATGACAGAGATCTCTATCTTTCTCTCTTAATCTCTTTTTGCAAAAGGAAGGATTTAAATGACTTATGGCTTTAATGATTAAGAGAGAATTATTATTTAATCATAGAAGATTAGTATAGCATCTTATATATAAAAAGTATTTGCCAACGCATAAAGTTTGGTTTTTGAGTATCAAATAGGATCATTTGGGATATATAATTAGCTATGATACTTTAGTTATGAAAATTCTTTTAGGCTCTATTTGGGATTGATTTTTGTGTTTATTTTTAGAATAATTAAAAAGATAATAAAATATACTTATTTTTATTTAAAATTAAATTATTTTATTTATAAAAGTTAAGTTGGAGGTATTATTGCTATTTTAAAGGATTTTTTTTCCTTTATTTATATTATAATCTTGTTCGATTAATCACTCTCACTTTGATCATTGTGAATGGCTACTCCTAAAGCCCTAGTGTGGTGTCCCACACCATTAATCATGTTTGCATCCAATGCAAATATTCCCTCTTCTTCAGTCATCTTTCTTATTGTGATTCCTTCTTTGATCATTGATTTTGAATTGCAATCATGATTCATTCATATTTACCTCTTTATCACTTATTTTACAATAAATATCCTTGGTAAATTTGGTCGTGGAGGCATAATTTGAAATTATGTTGAGGAACCAATTATCACATTTTTTTTTTTTATTATTTTGGTGTCCAAATTTTCTTATATGCACAACTAGTTAATTTAATTCATCGATTAATATGTTTCCTCCATTTTTCTTTATTTGATGTTTGGATAGAAATGGAGGGATTACATTTTATTTCTATTTTGAAATGTTGAGGCCTATGCGTGATTGCCCACTTTTCAACAATTCTTGAATAGTGTGTTATGTGATTGTCCAAATTGGCATATTTCCCTAATGGTTATAATCCCTAGGTTTATTTATAACTTTACATTGTATATCCTTGTCTTTAGGGTTGTGATTACAACATGTTATTCATCAAATTAAAGCTCATATTTCAAAGATAGCTGGTGTGAACGACAACAACTCATCTAAAAGTTACAAGAAAGAGTGTTCATGTCAAATATTGTGTGTGAGAGAGAGATCACCATTCCCAAGAGGAGGTCAACAGAGAAGAAAATCACAATATATGTAATGTAGTAATTTTAGAGTACATTCACTATAGGATTTATTGAGAAGTTCACTATACTCATGAGAAGTGTAAAGGAAGAAATTTGTTTAAGCACACCAAAAGAAAGAAATAAAAATAAAATAGAAAATAAACCAATGCTTTATCACACAGAAGAAAATAGGCTAGAAAATGAAGTTTGCAATATATTTAGAGAAAGAAAGGAAGAGCGAGTGAGTTTAAAACAACATGAAGAGGTGCATGTGAATCAATAGGTGAAATTTAGGCTAGAATGACAAATTATTAGTAAGCTAGTATATCAAGGGTCAAAATCCCTTTTTTTTTTTTGAATGAGTATATATATATATATATACATCCAACATTACTTACATTTTTAATATTACCTCAAGATTTGCCTAATGTTCCTTGTATATCCTTTGGAAGGAATGATGTATATGGGCATTAGTGTAGACTATAATGGAGCTATAGGGGATTAATGTTAAAGTTCTTCAAGTTGGTGACAAAAATGGTAAAGGCAATATAGTTTGCAATTTCCAAGTGGTGTATGGTCTTCCCAAGGGGAAACGAAATTTCCATTAATAGCTATCAATGCAAGGGTTATTAAGTTTGAGGCTTAGATGTTGGACCTCTAAAGTGATGTAGTGGCTTCAATGGACAAAATGAAAGCCTTTTAGGAAAAGGAAGTGAAGAGAAGATGCGTTATCTTTTTATCGGGTGAGTGATGTTTGAAATTAATTCTTTGACTTAAGAAGAGTGATCATGGATATGAACAATATGATAGAGGCTATCAATTTTAAGATGTGGCCAAGCAACCCCAAAGAGCTTAACTACTTGGATAGGATGTGATCCCAGTGCATAGAGCAATGCATCTTTATGATGGCTTGAATTGGGTACTTAAACTCAAGTGTTCTATTAGATACAAATATTCTAGAGAATGATGCGATATTATAATACTTATGTACCTCATATGAGAATCCATGAATTAGATATTATAGGTTGTCATCATACTAAGCCAGTGCTAAAGAGGATTCATTGTTATGGGAGAATTAATCATGTTAGAAGAAGAATATCCCTAAATAAGGGTGTTATTTCTCATGAGTCACCCCTTGAAGTCTTGAGGTATGTTTAGTCTATCAAAGATGTTGGTGCTCATTTCAGTTAATATAATAATTTAAAATAAAATTCAAATTTTGAAAAAAACTTAGCTTTCTTCATTGGGATTAAACAATCGTGATATATATTGAAGCATATCATGCTAAAGTGGAGGTGGAAAATGCATGCTTTTCAAGAAATAATTTTTTTTCTCTACTAAGATGCGGAGTTTATTTTTTTCTTTTTCAAGCTTTCTTTTTTCAAAATTTTTCTTGTAAAACCCCTTTATTATGAGTACTTCATTTTGCATCTTCTCTTTTTAACAATGAATACCAATGTTAGTTCTATTGAAGCAATCAACATTGTCATTGAGAAGGTTAAGGGGTGACAAATAGTGTTAATGTTCACGAACAATTTACTTTTGTTCCATTCTTCCCACTATGACAAAATATGAGAGTTACACAAAGATTGAGAGTAGACATGGCATTTCAATGGGTTTTGTTGTGAGGATTCTTAGCTAGTGAGTGAATAAAAAATTCTAATTTCTACTTAGAAAGACATTTGTCTTTTTGAGTAATGTGTTGACAAAGATTGTTGAGATAATCACAAGTAACAAAGGTTTTGCTACGTGAAGGATCACTCAAATGTAAAGGAGAGTTATGCTAATATTGGGACTCATGTTACAGTTGTGACTATTTTCATCATCCATTAACTTCTTTTTACGAACATGAATGGCTAGTGGTTCTCACAGATGCTGTGAAAAGTATGGGTAAAAATAACTCATTTGCTAAAGGATATAGGAGAACGAGCTTGTACGTTAGAGGTTCGTAAAGAAAGAGATATAGATAACTATAGATAGATCACTACTCCCAAGACTTACTTACTCTATGAGAAACTAATTGAAATAAAGCCAATTAGAAAGTACTTCAAAACTTTAAAGTAGTTCAATCAATTGACCTCGTCCATCATAAAATTTATTGAAAAATCACCATACTCGAAGAAGTATAAAGTAAGAAATTATCTATGTCTAGCTCTTATATATGCAAAAAAGGATTCCAAATCCTTTTTTATTTTAATTTTTTAATACTGTAAAATGTTTGATATTTAATATGCATATTAGTTAGCCATTTAATTAAATAGTAAGTAAAAAAAAAGCCAAAGTATCAATAAATTATTGTTCTTTTGGAAATAAATATATATTTTAGCTACAAAACAATAAACTTCTAAATAGATGCATTTTAATTTATTATTATAGCGAGAGTGATATTTTAATTATCTATTTGATTGGTTGAATGTCTTTAATTTGTAGGATTCATTTGTAATTTTCTAAATTGTCATTATAAAATATTTTATCATGATCAAATCATCTCACCCGTATAAAATTTTTATTTATATTCATTAAAAGAAAAAATCTATTTTTATTCATGAAAATAAAAGAAAGTTTATAGAAGCTTTTATTTATATTTGTTAAAATTTTAATTTACACTCAGCTCAATTCAATTAATGCCTTAAATTTAGGCATCGTTTGGGGCGGCTTTCTTAATACTTTTTAAATTAGCTTTTTAATACATAAATTTTTGTACTAAAAAATAGTTTTAGAAAGTAGTAAAAAAAGTTATCCCAAATGAAGCATTAAACAGAAAAAAAAAAAGCAAAAAAATCATTGATTTATTAATTCAGCTAAGCTTGTAAAATGAAAGTTGCATAAAATACAAAACTTGACATAAATTTCTGCTTTTTTTTTGGGACATTTAGGCCATTTAAGGCAAACTCATACACACAATGCATACACATGGACTCGAACCTTGGACCTCTTGGTTGGAAGCCTAAGCTTTCAACCAATAGGCCAAGGAGAGTTGTGTATAAATTTCAGCTTGAAACAAGGCAAGTACTGGTCCCATTACACATTTCTCCATTAATGTTCAAAATAAAAGAAAATTCATTAAATGCATAAAGATGGTAACAAAGTTGAGTCAATCTCGGCTTAATAAATAACTCATGAGCCAAATTTTAACGGGTCATCTTTGCTCGATAAATTTTATGTTGATTGTAGACTACCTAACGAATTCTCCAATTTTCTCGTCTAAGGCTTGGGACCTAAAAACAACAATGTTAGCCAAGTTTAAATGAGAAATTATTCTGTGTGGAGATCAGACACAAAACATCGTCCGTAGGCTAACAAGAATATGCCACGTCAGTAGTACCGAGCTGTGATACCGAGCAAGAGGTGATGTGACACTTCTAAAATTAAGCTCGATCATAAAATAGCCCTCTCTCTTTAATAATTGAGTTTGCTCCAAAATCGACTCAAACTTCTAAAATTAAGCTCGAGCTCGAGCTCAAACTCAATTAGCAAAATTCAAGCTTAGACTTCGACATATTTAGCATTTACACCTTTACCAAGTTTTATCATCATTAATAAACATTAAAAAATACAAATTGTACCTTACTTCACATTCTTGGGCCCCATATTTCACTCTCAAGTGAAGCTATAGCTTCCCTACTCTATTATAGAACATATAATTGATATTAATTAATAAATTAATTTGTTTTGACTCTCTTGTATTGTAGACACCTTTTACATAAAATAAATATTTCTATTCAAAAATAAGTCACATCATAAAATAGTATCAGTAAACCATACTAAATTAATGATATTAGTGTTTTTTTTAAATTAAAAAAAGTGTCCAATCATCATATAACAAAATTAACTCTTAATATTATAATTTTTTAATTTACACATTATATTATAAATTTTAAATAATATCGAAAAATGTTATTAATATTAATTTATAAATTTTTTAATATATTATAAACACTATGATATTATATAATTAAAGATAAATATTTAAATTTTAGAGTTAAAAATAAAAAAAAATTATGATATGTATGTTTTTTTTTTTCATACCAATTGCTAAATAAAAAGTTAAAAAACTACTAATTCATATCGATAACCTCAATTATTTAAATAAAAACATATTTGATGAGCGTAACTGCGCTGATCCGAAAAACTTTATCAAGAACATAAGCAGTCAATCATGGACCCTGTAAATAACTACGAAACAGGGAAGGATAGCTCTCGGATTGGCCACAAATAACTCTTCAAGATTCGTGCCCTCCTCAGCCACCGAGTCGTAGCCTCCTAAGCCGCCGCAGCCGCCGCCGCCTTCATCACCATCGCCGGTGAACCAAACACGACCAGCAATAACACGACAAACTAGCATGGCCCTAGTACCGTTTCCGCCGCCGCAGCCGGAGTCAAAGTCGTCATCCGCCAGGCCGCTGCTCGCCGTCGTACGGACGCCGAATGGATGGCTCGGCCTCCGGAATCCATGCCGGATGACGTCACAAACGCAGCAGGTGCCGCCGCCTCCGCCGCCGGTGGAGAAACAGAGAGCGGTGGAGCCAACAGCGCCGAGGTGGCAGGAGATTGAGACGGAGTGAAAACGGAGAAGCTCGTTGCCGTCGGCAGCGCAACGGGGATTCCGGCGGCTAGCAGCGGCCGCAGTGGCGAGGGACTTGACAGCGGCGCGATAATCTTCGAAGCGGGCGATGGTGCGCGGGGTGTTGTGGACTTTGAGGATTCGGTCGATCTTGCAGATCGTACGGTGGTTCTTTTGCCAGCTGGACTTGAAGATTATCTCCACTATGTGGCGGCCGGAGTCCTCGGGACCCAGCTCCGATACTGGCAAGTTTGATAAAAATCAGCATAGTTTTATTTATTATTCCACAATAAATAATTTTTAAAAGATTTTGAAAAGATGGAAAATAATTGATAAATATAATTAGGGATGTAAGAAATTTTTATTAGGCATGTTCGAGATAATACAGGATGAGGCATAAAAAATTAATAAATATTAATTTTATGACATTTTTTGAATAATAAAGTAATTGTGATTTAAATTATTAAATTTATTTTTAGATGCATGAATATAAATTTTAATTTATTTTATGTATAATATATTCATCTAAAAAATAATATTTTTTAAATTTATTTTAAACTAAATTGATCTTCAAAATTTTCTTTATGATAAATCTATTTAGGAGGAGTTCAATATTTAATCTAAATAAGCCTAAATTTTAGTTTTTTTATATTATTTTCAAAGAGTTATATCTACTATGATTAGGGGTGTAAATGTTTTAATTGTGTTCGAGTCACCTTTAGATTTAGAGCTTGAGCTCGAGCTAAATTCCACAAATCTTAATTAGCTTGCGAGTCAGCTCATTTTTATGAAAAAGAGATCATGATTATGATCGAACCAATATTAATAATAAAATGATAAAAAAATAAAAAGTTATAAAAAAATCACGTAATATAAGAAAATTTAAATAAATTTTAAATATTTTTAACAATTTTACTATTAAGCTCCTAATTGCTATTATATTTTAATTTCATTTCTATTAATATTTCTTAAACAAAACTAACTTGTTACTTAATCACGTAGATGCTGGCTCAAGCTAAGCTTATTGACTCATGAGTTTGGCTAAGATCATTGACTCATCGAGTTTGACTCACGAGAGACTTATTGAGTAAAACTCGAGTCGGCCACAAATCAGCTTGACTTACTTACACCTCTAATTATGATCATGAAGATTAGATAAATAGAAATTTATAACATTACCTGCATGGCGAAGGCTTTGATGAAGCTCCAAGCTTTCTATCTTGTTGAACACCTCCCCGCATTGTGAGCACGCGCAAAGCGTCCTCGACCGTGGACACCTCCTTCAGTTACAATTCCACTAATTTAATTTAAATTATCTCTTAAAAATTAATCAAAATTATAAGGCAAATACTCCTAATTTTATATATTAATTTTATCTTGACAAAAAAATCATTTAATTAAATTTAAATATTTATCTAATTAGTTTTGAAAATGTAATATCTTTATTCTAACTCTTAAATCCAGGATTTCACTAATCCCATATTAGGCATAATTAATTAAACTAATTAGTCAATTAATATACAAACCTGCAAGCCGGCTCAGCGTCAACGGCACGGCACTCGTAGCACCCCGAGAGCCGCATCAGCTGAACCCCACCCCTCGCCGGCGCTGCGGCATGCTGCCGCCGTCGTCGGTTTTGTGGGCCTGTATCGCCGGCAACGTAGGAGCTGGAGCGATGCCTACTGTCGCCACCGGAAGAGTTGTACTGATCGGTGTCAGACCGGTGGACCACGCGGACGCTGCCGTGAACCACATCGCCCAGCGCGCAGCCCGACGACCCGAACCGCAACCCAAGCCTCTGTTGTTTCCCGGCGGCGGCGGCCGAGGAAGGGTCGTGGACTTTGGTGGGGCCGGAGGTGCTCTTGCAGTTTAGAAGGTTTCGAAAGTGATCCCATGAGAGGGTGAGGGATGACGGCGGAGGTGGCGGCGGCGGAGGTCGTTGCTGTTTCTTTTTTTGTTTCCGGCGGTGGTGGCCGGCGTCGGCGGAGGAGAGGAAGGAGGTGAGGGCCATGAGAAGAGATAGGAGGAGGTGGAAAAGGTGCGCAGCGCCGTACTCTTAAGCTTCTCCTGCTTTAGCATTTGCTCTGTTCCTCTTACTCTGCTTTCATTTTGGCTCTGTTTGTATCTCCTCCACCAATCAGTCTTCTTCTCCGTTTTATAAGTACTCCTCCATAGGAATATATTAAGATAAATGAGCCGGTGGGGACGTACGGAGAGAAGGAGACATATGTGAACTTATGCTAAACCTAAGTAACTTATTATGAAAAATAATAGAAGGTTTAATTTAATAAAATATAATAATTATATTTAGTAAAATATAAAAATTACATGTTAGAATATTCGCAACGGTGGAAAGATAGAGTTTAACGTTTTAACATGCATAGACTCTAGAATTTTTTTATGGAAAACAAAAAGGTGAAAAACTCTAGTTGAAATAATTCTATTAGTTGTTGTGAGACTGAAGTTCATCAATAATTGTTCGGAGCTCAGGAGAGAACAAAAGTCGGGTGATGATGGTTGATGGATCATAATTGAGCGACGGTGGTAATTATTGGAGAATTATAGTTGGGCAATGGTGATAAAAGGATTGTAGTTGGGCGAAAGTGATCAGAGGATTGTATTCAGACGACGGTGGCATGTGGATTGTAATCAAGTCATGATGGTCAAAGAATTGTACTCAAATGATTGTGATAAAAAAAAATAGTAGTTTAGCGACAATGAACAGAGGGTCATTGTTGGAAGGTATTGGTCGAAGATCTTTAGTTAGATGCCGATGGTCAAAAGATTATAGTTGAGCAAAAGTGTTCAAAGAATTGTAGTTGTACAATAGTGACCAAAGGACTGTAGTCACGGTTGGTGGTTTGTTGTTATCAGTATAGCGACAATAGTCGAAGAGTTGTAGTCTGATGGTGGATAGCAATGGTCAGGCAGCAATGATTCGTCGGTGATGGGTCGATGATGGTTATCGAAACAGTAGTATGATGGAATTATGATATTCTTCAAGCGTCTTTTTCTACAAGCCACTGGCCACCACTATTTCGAAACCGACCACACTATTGGCACATGCTAGCCACTGGCCACCACCATTATTAAATTCAACAATACATTCATTTTACTACAAACAAAAAAAAAAAAAAAAAAAAACCCCACCATTTACTTTATACTCATCCAAAGAAATTCAAATGTTTCAAATACATTTTATTTTATTTACACGGTATTTCATTTTATTTTGCATTAATGACATAGTATCGTAACTCTGATAAAATTAATATATTTGTTTTAAAGCTGTTACCTTCATCTCATAGTCAGAGGCCTTGCATTCAAGATTATTAGTCTCCTCTATTTTCCTTTAAAAATAATCTTTAATAATAAAAGTAAAGTGGAGAGGCATCTTAGAATTTACGCAAAATGAATTAATATTAGTAGTAATATTATTTCATTGCATCCTAATTTAAATTAAATCAAATGAGTTTAATAATCATTATATATACCTTGAAATTAGTAAAATATAATTTTTTATACACAATATTAATTTCATAATAAATTCAAAATTTTGTAAATATATTCAACATAATTTAAACATAATTTTTCTTACATTAATTTAGGTTATACTATAAATGTAATCTAATTAAGGCTTCCTTATTGCGTCCTCCCACCTGACGTAGAGATGCGTCCTCCCAGAGCTAAAATCGCACTAAAAAACAGCTATACCAAGCAAATACCGAGCAATACCAAACAATAACGAGGAATATCATCATGTGAAGACCAATACCGAGTTATACCGAGCTATACCGAGCAATACAAAAAAATACCTAGTTTTTCCTAGAGAAAACTCGGTATGTGCTCGGTATAGCTCGGTATTGCTCGGTATAACTCGGTATTGGTCTTCACATGATGATATTTCTCGTTATTACCAAATAATACCTAGCAATACCGAGCAAAAATCAAGTTTTTTTTGCAGTGGGAGGACGCATCTTTACGTCAGGTGGGAGGACGCAATAATTTTTCTCGTTTGGGACAGCTTTAGGCCACTATTTTTTATTACTTTTAAGAAATTTTTGTACAAAAAACAGCTTCACAAAATAGTAAAAAAGTCATCCTTCTTAAAGCAGCTTTCTAGTATGAAAACTAAAATTTTTGTACTAGAAAGCTGATTTAAGAAGTAAGAAAATCATCTCAAATGAAACCTAAGTAAGCAAGCTTGAAGTGGAGTGGATTATTAAAATGGTTTATTAATAAAGACTTTATCATTCATGATGCTTGTATTGTGCATCAAGCATTGAGCAATCTTTCAATGGAATCTAGCTTAATTGTTACTAATAATTCAAGGAATTGAATTAGTTATCAAGGAAGAGAAGTTCAAAAGTCAAATATAACTATTCTTATCTTGAACTTCTCCCGAATAATAAAAATAAAATCTTATTTTGCAAATTTAGGCTTAGCTTCATTTGGGATAACTTTTAACCTTTTTTTTTTTTTTTTGCTATTTTAAAGAATTTTTGGTACTAGATAGCTGCTTTAAAAAGCACTAAGAAAATTATCATAAATGAAATCTTAGTCATAAGAAAACTATGGAACTTAGGGTTACTTTGATAAATTATATTTAATAATATATTATAAAAAATAAGGGATGAGACATTTTGTGATATTTGAAGTAGATGTTTATCTCTAACTACATAAAATTAAATGATGACTTTGATAGATTGATAGAGTTTCATTAATTTTAAAAACATATTTCCTAATTCAAGCAAGCAAATAATCTTTTGAAAACAATACATTAGTTAAATATATTCAAAATAGCAATAATAAATGAACAAGCTAGACAATGTGAGACTAATCACATTGCTTGGGAAAAGTGAAAAAAAGTTATATAAGAAAAGTTTAGGCTTTTAATGTATACTAATGATCATCAAATCATAAAATTAAAGAGATGCCTATGCAATATTACACAAAACAAAATAATGACATTTTAATAGAATTTATATTAGATTGAACTTAGAAATTGTTAAATTTATTTTGAGATTAATATTTTATATAATTGAAAATTATTATTTAATTGTCATAAAAAATTTTATTTAAACAAGCACCAACATAAATTTTGATGAATTTTATAAACTTTAAAGCACTTGGTTTTTCGATCAAAAAATTTTGCAATTAATTATGAGGATGTCTAAATTTTATTTTTGATAAATTTATATTTAAAATAATGGAATTTAATGAGGCAAATCAAAGAGAGCCAATAATGTCTTCTTCATGGCTAAATTAGAAATTTCTTTAGGCTTTTGTATATTCAAATGTTATGGAAAAGCACACAGGCTAAGGAGTACTTCTCTTACAAACCGGAAGCATAATGGCATCGGGTTAAGGTTTCATGTGGGACGGTTTTTTTGTTGCTTTTTAAAGTAGCTTTTAGTATAAATATTTCTGTTTTAAGAAGCAGTAAGAAATCGTCTCAAATGAACTCTAAGATTTAGACTTTGTTTGGGATGACTTTTTTATTGCTTCTTGAAGCAATTTTTTAATATAAAAATTGAATTTTTTGTACTAAAAATTTGTTTCAAGAAGCAGTAAAAAACTGTCCCAAACGAATCTTATATTGCAACAGAACCAAGATTAGCTGCCAAGTCTCCATTCCATTATATAAAACAAGTTGATTAACAGTTAATTACTTCCAAGGTTTTTCCTTCTAATATCTATAAACCAAAAATAGTAACATAACATATCATCTATTGAAAAGCAGCCTATTCAATTTGGCATGAACAATTGTTATAATCATAATTAATACTCATTATGATCATTCTCTATCTAAGTTACTAATTGTAATCACAATAGTTGGTTTTGCCGGGCTATGATGTGGCTGGGGCTCGCTTTTTCGTCGGCTTGGCTCGTGGCAACATTTGGTGGTCGTCTTTTGTTCGGTTGGGTTGGCTTCTTCGTGTTTCGCGTCACCAAATTGGATGGTCTAAGCTTATCTTTCGGAAAGCTGGAAACCTCGGCCAACTACTGAGCCCTTAAGATTGAATTCCGCTTCTATTTTCTTTTGTTTCTTGTAATTTTTTCTTCTTGTAATTTTTTCTTCTTTGCTTCGTGTAACCTTTTTGGATATTTAATGAAATACTTTGTTTGTGTAATATATATATATATATATATATGATCATTCTCTATCTGCCACTTCTCTATACAATTATTGTCTGAGTTCATCAATCTCTCCTCAAAAGACATCTGTGTGCCAAGAGAGATTATTAGGCGCGGAGTGCGGATGGGAAGAACCGTCCGCACAAGCATTGAGTACCTTGCTAGGTACCACTCGGTACCGCTGGTTACCGCTAGATACCCAGTATTTGTGCGGACGGTTCACACTCCGCATCTAATAATTTTTCGTGTGCCAATAAAACTGAAAAGAGTTGACATATACTAATAATATAATATTACTCAGTAGACAGCAAGAAACCAAATAATCATTAATCAAAAAGGTATCTAAGCCTAATGTTCTCTTCCCAAAGAACTAAACATTTCAGCAAATGTTCAGAGACCTACTTCTCAACTAATACTGAAATTAAATTGATGTCCATTATCAGATTCAGTAACTCAGATATTATTAAACTGAATAATAATGACAATGAGTTCATCAATTATGATAATGAGGCAGGCCAACTAATTATAAGGTATCAAATGCATTATAATAATCTATCTTTATAAGCACATAAGATTAAACTATATAATCTACTGCAAATCTCACTAACTCCTCACATATATGATAGATTATCAAAGCATGGAGAGAGTACTCAGAGAGGCAGTGAACTGCTTCCCTTTGTCTCTGCTGTATAGTTTAGATGCTCCCTATGATTTGATAAAATTTTAGGTCATTAGGTAGAACTAATAATGGTTCACTGCTGATATTATATTATAAATAAATAGTTCTACATATTGATATCATATTTAGCACTAATCTCAATGCAAATCTAGCCGAAATGAAGCCCATTTGAATGTAATTTTCATTTAAATATACTTAACGCAAAATTCTGTCCTATAATTTACTTCTTCTTTTTTTTTTTGGAAATGCAATGATGTCAATTTGTAGAGAAATTATTAGATGCAAACTATA